CATTGGTAATTATTTGAAAGCACATGAAGTTATAAAGACTTATGAGTTAAATCAGGTGCATTTTTTTCATATATATATATTTCTACATAATAGTAAATTTGAATGATTGTGAATTACAAAATTTGAGCCAAACATTCCTAAGCGTAAAGTATGGAAATTTATGCTTCACTTCAATTTATTTCGCTTGCATGAGTTTTTTACGAAATGAAATTAATACTGAGGTGATATTTAATAAATAATTCTTATTTTTTTTATGTTGAAATTTAATGCTCATTTTTTTGGAAAAAATATGTTTTGATGCTTTATATTATAAATTCAGATTTATAATGTGGAACTTTTGAATTTTGATAGCGATAAGGGTAGGTGGCTTGCAGTCACGGAATCACGCTCAGAAAATACGCTGTATCGAAATGGAACTGATATTGAGGTAAGATGTGATGAACAGTATATATTTAAATCTATAAATCTAGTTTTCATTTGTAAAAATATTTAGAGATATTAAATTTTAGCTGCTATTTCTTCACGTATATCTTTAAATAAATGGATAGAGGAGTAAATAAAAACAAAGCACAGTAGATTATGCATTAATACTTCTTAAAATTTCTTTAACTTTAACTGATGTTTTCATTTTTAGTAGTTTAGTTTTATTCTTTCAATACTGTTATAAGTGTTTTTGCTTAGAGTATGGTTGTGAAGTTGTAGCTTTATTGCATTTCAGATCGGTTCAGAACTTCAAGCATTCGTAACTTCAACATCTGATGATGCTCATGTCTTTGTCGAAGTCAGTCCTGGCATTTCTGGTTGCGTCGTAAAAAGCAAAAAGTATTTCATTTCCACATTTCAGATGTTGTATAAAATTGATTTTTATTACATATGAAAATCTATGAGAATTCAAAGATCATTCCATAACAAAAATAATTAACAATTTTTCACTTCATTGAAACAATATAGGAAGTATTGAGTGAAGCCAACCTTATTATTTAAGCAGAAATGAAATAATTATGAACATTGTGAATTGAACTGTTAGAATGAGGAATTTTCAGATTATCTTTAAAACCTGATGATTTGATTAAAGTTCGTGTCAATCATGTCTTTCCGGATGGTGGTTTGAAAGTAGATTTTGTCAATTTGATTGCGGAAAGTTCTACGGATAAAGTTTGTGTCTATTTTTTTCCAGTTTTTTTCATGGGTTTTTAATTTTTCTTTTCCACTGATATTTTACTGAACTATTTCTTCTTTGTAATTGTCATTTTTGAAATAAATTCCTTGTTATTCTTTGCTAGCATCATTTTCATAAATTATAAAATGCTTTAAATACGAATATTTTATAGAAACCGCGGAAGAGGCTCAGAAGTATTGCATCTGATAACGCAATCGATTTGCCACGAAAGAAATCGAGAGCAGCTGGTTATGTGGCAGCTCATTCCAAAGAGAATGAACCTCCGCAAGTTATTCTTGCTGAAGTAAAAGTAGGAATTAACCTTGAAATGAACTTCCTGGTCTGTTAGAATGTTTATATTTACCTGACATTGTTTAAACATTTACTATTTATGTTTTTGGCTAGAGAATTTGTTAGTTTATTCTTTAAATTAATTTATAGCTTAGTTCTTTTTGCTTTAATTTTAGTTACCGGAACCAGGTTTGGACTGGTCTCTAAAAGGTTTTACACCAGCTGAATTTGCAAAGGTAGGACAACTTGGTGAAAAAGTGGATGTCGCAGATGATACTTTAATGGCGAGAAATAAAACCATTCCTGAAATGGCAAGAAATGAATCATCCATTCCTGATAATGTTGAAGAGCAAAGCAAACCAAAAAGTAGATGTATATTTTAAGGCGTTTTCTTACCAAAGGTTGCGTATTAAGTCTAACGTTAATTTTCACCGTATTGGGAAGGTTTTAGCTTTGATTTTTGGTATTTTGGTGTGGTTTACTACTTGTCAGAAAAATAATTGAGTAATGTTTTTTTGTTTATTTAGATAAATCTAAAGACTTTCTCGATTTAAAAATATTTTTTAAACTTTTGTTATGTATTACAGCTAAAGAGGAGCTTGAAATAGAAAAGGAAAAGAAATTAATGGCTCGTGAACGAAAAATTCTTGAGGCGGATTGGATCCCGGATAACACAAATGATTTCGATCGTTTAGTTACTGGTTCACCTAATTCGTCGATCTTGTGGATCCGGTATGTTTGAAACTTATATTTCCGAATCTTTTAACGGGACTTTTGTCTAAAAAGTGTTTGCAAATGAAAGTAACTTCGCAGTGGTACAGTGAAATTAAATTATTGCTTTATTTTTTAATGGAAGAAGGAATGCATATCATAAGTTTATTATTAATACTTTTCCAGATACATTACATTCTTTCTGGAGCAAAATGATATAGACAAAGCAAGGGCAGTTGCAGAGCGAGCACTTTCAGTTATCAATTTCCGGTTAGTTCTTCATCTAAATGATAACTTTGCGAGATAATGCTATTTTAAAAATGAAAATAAGATTTAAAACCATCTGAAATTTGTTCTGAATTATTCCATATGAAAAATAGTTCAAAAGTAATTTATGTGAAATATAAACAACATAATTTGTTTCTTTTTTTGTTTCAGAGAAGAAGATGAAATTTTCAATGTTTGGACAGCATATCTCAATTTAGAAGGAAATTTTGGTACGAGTGAATCATTGAAGGCAGTTTTTGCTAATGCTGTCAGAAACACTGATCCTCTGAAAATGTATAAGCAAATGGTAAAAATATATCAAAAGCTGGAGAAAATTGAGGTGTGTTTCATGTGTACCTAATGTATATTTCTGATTTCGTTATTGAAAAGAACTATGTGATTCTTTCAGAATTGTAGTTATAGTGAAAAAGCAAAAATTTTCTCATTAACCAAAATCTTTTAGAATTTTCTTTTTCTTAAAAAATTTCAAAATAGTGGTTTTTAGTTTAAGAAGAAAAATTTCTTTGGGGAAAGATTTTTTGTATGATGCATTGATTTTTTGAAAAATAGAATGTATTTTTCCTTTCAATTTCATACAAAATTTATTGCAGGAAATTGATGATTTGCTAGAAGAGATGTTGAAACGATTTCGTCACGATGATTTGGATGTTTGGTTCATTTATGGACAACATTTGCTGGAAACAAAACGCCCGGATAAAGCAAGGAATCTGATGAAAAAAGCGATTAATTGTTTACAACGAAAACATCGTAAGTAACTATAATCGTCTAAAAAGATTTAGGTTCATTCAACCAATCAAACTTTTGCTTTTATTATTGTCAGTTGTTGTTGATTATTAGCAATCAAAAAAATATTGATTACTCTTAATATCTCTTAAGGTATAGTATTAATTTTTTGTCATGAAATATAGATCAGAATTAGTCGCAATAAATGAAATAATTGTGAAAGGTGACACATACATCAGATGATTGTTTTTTTTTTCTTTGAATTTGATTTTAGACGTGACAATTTTGAGCCGTTTCGCACAACTTGAATTCAAATTCGGTGATATTGAACAGAGTAAAACAATTTTTGAAAGTATTTTAAATTCATATCCGAAGAAAACAGATGTTTGGACAGTTTACATCGATTTGCTCATCAAAGCTGAGAAAATTGAGGATGCAAGGTGATTTTTTTTTTTCGAAAAATAACAGTCTTTTCTACTTATTTCATAGCAATATCAGTATAATTGGAAAAATGATTAAACCTTAACGTTGCTTGCAGTTTACACAAAAATTTTGTTCTAGGCAATTATTGGAACGAGTTACTGCACTAAAATTATCCACTCATAAAATTCGATTATTTTTCAAAAAATGGGTTGACCTGGAACAAAAACATGGTGATGAGAAACAACAGAACAATGTATGTTTATTTGAGTTTTACAAAAAAAATTAATTCCTAGGATAACTTAGTGGAATAAAAAGCCATGGAATAAAGTGAAAACTGAGGCAGAAAAGATGTAAATTATTGTTTCTTTTGTCGTAAATGAAAGATATTCGAGGAATAATTCAATAAAGCTAACTCCTGTTACTTCACATTTCATTTAATTTTTTGAATTCATATTCTTTTTTTACATATTTACCTCTAGATGAAATATAAAAAGTAGAATAATTTGTTAATTCGTTTTTCTTATTTTTTAGGTTAAAGAACGAGCGGTGCAATATTTACAAGATATTACAGAACTTGTATCTGAAGCATAATTATTGGATTACTCCAGTTTGCCCTCTGTTTGGACCAGCATTTTTTTCTTTGAAAGTTTTGTATTTTTTTATCTGTTATGGTTGATAAGCGGGTACTTAAGTGATTCCTGATTGATTCTAAAATATTAATTGCAGGTAACTTCTAAGTGTTATCAGCTTTACCCATTTATTGTGTACATATAACTACTGCTGTTGTCTATCGTTGTTGTTGCTTCTGTTGTTTTTCTTGCTGTTGGTTAAATTTGACATTTTAAATAAATTGTTTATTTTATCTTTTTTGCACATTTTACACCATTATTTTTGATGGATTGTCCAGTTCCTTCATCGCTGTCACATTATCATTTATTTTTTTGTGATTTAATTGCAAAAATCACCACTTTTCATTATCAAATTACGTAGAAACTGTTTTCTGCAGGTGCACAGCTATATCAATTAGCTCTGCAATATATGCAAAAAGAAATGTTTTTGAACTATAACTTTTAATTTGATCATTTAATGTGGTAAGGGTTTTTTTCTTTTTTTTGCACTTTGGTTCTTGTGCACTTTATTCATTTAATCGTTGATTAATTCTTGAATTTATCAGAAGATCCGACTTTTAAGTATTACTGCTAAAGATTAAGCTTTCAAATTACTGTGTTTCTAATATAAAATGTATGATCTAAAACAGATCAAAGCTTCGACATCTTAAACTTATAAAAGAAATGACAGAATATTTATGATGTTACTTTTAGTGTTGAAATTCTTCACAAATTTGAATTGCAGAGTCATTTCTCAGTCCAATTTATGCAGTACTAAATAATTGTGAAGAATCTAAATGGGTACATATGTTCAACAATTGAAGGAAGAATATGAGAAACGTCTTCGTGGTAACAATTTTTGATGAATACTTATTTGATTATCTATTATTTATCTGATGTAAAATAAATGCAAAAAATAGAACAGAAGATATTAGACAATATTAGAGTTTGGTTGAATTGTTTACATTATGATAAAACATTTTTTGATAATTATTGTTGGATAATGATTGGTAAGAAATGTTAAAATTTATAAATTGGCATTTACATTTTATTATGAACTAGCATACATTTTAAGGAACAAAGATATGAATCTTTTCAAGTGAATTAGCTATCCAAAAGTTGGGATATGTATAACTGACAAAGTCTGCTCAGTGCAGTGTAGTTTTGTATAAATTAGAATCTTTTCCAAATTCAGTATTGATTTTGAAATATTAAAGAGAATAATTTTTTAATTTAAAAAAGAAAAAAAGAAAACTTCTGAATTAAAATTGTTAAAATATGTTTGACATTATTGTAATTGTTGAAGCGATGTCACTTGCTAATTTTATAGTATCAGAACGAACGTTACACGGTGAAAAAGAAAGACGACGACAACTTAATTTTCATTGTAAACAACTTGAAGCGCAATTGCGAAAAGTTCAACGAGACAATGAAAGTATGGGAAAGCAGTTAAAAATGATGAAAAAGTGTGCATCATGCTCACATCTTGGTAATAGTTTTTTTTTTTGACTTTAACTAATTTCCTTGGAATTGCAAATATACAAAAAATTTTCGATGATTTACTTATTCCTAAATTGTTTAATTTTCGCATCGTTTATTATCACATTTTCTTTCTTCATATCACAAATGTAATTTTATTACAAAAAAAAGCAATTTTCTATAATTTATTCAAAAACTCAAATGGAAAGCTTAGCATAGGATAATTGGGAAACTTTGGAAGTATCTTCTGTAAGGAACAGACTTTATGCTTTTTCTTATGCATTCTTAATTTTTTTTTTTTTTTTGTTAAATATGATTTTTCAATTGAGTGAAAAGTTTTCTAAATTTTCTTAAACGAATAGTAAATTTATTTATCTATCAATCAGAGCGCAGCATGATTCTAAAAAAAAGGAAAAAAACAGAAACAAAAAGTGGAAAAGCGTAGTGATGTTAACTTGCTGTTTTTTTTTTTTCATTATTCTCTAGAAGGTTATTTAATGGAAAAATTGAATTGTTTTTAATATTACTTTAAATTCCTGCTTTTTTTGATGGTTTTATTTGTGAAATAAAATCATATATGATCGATTTTTTTACAAAATAAATAAATTTTGCAGATTTATTTCATTTTAGATCAGCGTAGCAAAAGTTACAATGCTTTAAATGAGTTACTACGTGGATCTGTGGCTGCTTTGGAACCAGATGCTATTGTATCAGTTGGTCGTAGTGATGAATTTAAAATGATTAAAAATGCAAATAGCAATCTTCAGCAATGTGTTGATAAATTGCAGAGTATGGTGAGAAGATAATTTAAAATTTGATATAAAATTTTGTCAAATTTCATGATTGAATGTACAAATTAAATTTCAGTTTTCATTTGCTTTATGTGAAATTGTTCATTTCATTTTCCTTTTTTTTATAGCTACTAAAAAAAGGACGTGAAGCTTTAGCAGCAGAAAAATATTATAACAATGCAATTTCGGAACGTGAAGAGCAAATATCTCGACTTCAGAAAGAGGTTTTATTTTCTTATTTTGTTTTTATTTTTCCTAATTTTAAAATGCACTTCATTCACTTATGTTGATAGTATTATTTAGATGTAATATAGTATTGTTTAACATTGTTTTTGTTTTTTCTACACTTGTATCCGTAATTTTATCCTAAATTCTTTTGTCAAAATTAACTTACTGAGGATGGAACACATGATTTTGACATTGAAATTTAGTTTATATGTAGGAATAAAAGCAAATAATTAAGCTTATTTATTTAATAAATTGTTGAGTAACTTCATTCAATTGGCAATTTAGAAGTTACGTTGCATTTTATGCATTTAATAATTCATTTTAAAAGAAAGGAAAATGTTTCAGCTTCAAGAGCGATGGAGAGGAGTTTCTACACAGTCAGTTGTATGTGTTAAACTAACCTAAATTTTGGAAAAAAAAATTCCATCGCAATTTGTGAATTTTTTTTGAACTGATGTTAAGGAGAGTTAATCAGTAGTTATATCTTACTATTGTCTAACAATGGAAAATTTATTTCATATGAAACGTACTAACTTTTTATCGCAACTTACTTTAGCACAGAATTAAAATAATAATAAAAAATACGGAGTGTTTGTTAAACTAGAAAGTTGTTCAGCAGAACAACCATCACTCAGAAGTGTCCTAATACTTATAAGTCTAGAATTTATTTATAAATGTAATATGAAGTTGGAAATCTTCATTTTAATATTTCTTGTCATTATGAATTTCAAAATATTTGTTGTAGGCTAACCAGCATATAGAAACGAAATTGAAAGCATTGCTAAAAGTTAGTGCTGTATTAATTTCTCATGATTTTGATTTTAATGTTAAAAATTTTCTGTATTTAAATACTGTAATATATGTTTGAATTTAAAATGTTAAATGGAAAATTTGCAAAAAAAAAATTTTTTTTCTTTCAGGAGAGAACCGAATTATTGGATCGAATAAATCGTTTAGAGAAAGAGAATAAAGAAAATTACGATGTTGTACATAATGAACCACAAAAGTGAGTTCATTTTGATTTGTATAGTTATTATCATAAATTTTGTAAGTTTATTTTAGATTTATTGCTCTCTCTAGTAAGAAAAATATTAGTTCGATTAAGTGCCAAAGAAATTGATTCGCAGTATAAAATTGAAAGATAGTATTAGATGAGAGAAATTTATTAGTAATGACTTGTTATATCATGTTTCATTCTTTAGCACTGAATATTCGACAACTACTCCAGCAATCTTTGAAACTGATGTTAATCCGTACTGCGGATGTTGTCGAAATCGAATAAAAAATTGGAACAAAATGTTAATCCTTCATTATATTTTTTACTTTTTGAGTGTGAAAATTATTATTCATTTATTTAATTATTTTGAAGAAAGATTTTCCTATATATATTTTTTACACTATATATATTTTGATATGTAAAACGAGCGGTGTGCTTAAAAGTTTCGGGTTTTAGAAATGATTTTTATTAGTTGTATAATTTACATTTGATGGTTTTATTTTAGGTTAAATGCAAAACAAATAAATATCACTGAATTTACGAATCCTGATGAGAGTGATTCAAATCGGTTAAAACAAAATGTAACGGCTGCAGAGAAGATTCAGGTATATATTAGAAATTTACTAATGATAATTTAATTGAATTTTACTGTGACAAGCGACTGAATAAACAGATCAGTAATTTGTTCAGATTTGTAGTTTTTAATCTTTTCACTTCCTAATGGCACAATAGACCGAGATTTGTTTTCAGTTATATTTTTCACATTTTGTGTGTAATAGCAGCGTATATTTTTGGTTTAAAATTTAATTATTTCCGCTTACTTGAAATTTGGCATTTTAATCGCGATAGTAATGTTGTAAGCTAGTTGTCACGGAATGTATTTTTATTTTTATATTTCAACCAGAATTTTTTTTTGAAATAAGTTATTTTCATTTTTTTTTTCCAGAAGCTTTCTCTTGCATTGGAAATGGAAAAAGAGAGGAATAGAGCGGTGGAAAATGCTCTAAAGAATGAAAATAATAATGTAAGTTTCTTGATTGTTTTTCGGATTTAATTTCCATAGATACCTTTCAAATAAATTTGATCAGAAATACAGTTTTCCTAATTTTGTGGTGAAATTAATTGTTCGATTTTAGCTGTCGAGCAGTTACCAGAAATTACTTCATCAGTGTGAATCTTTGGAAACGGAATTGGCTAAAAGACGAATTACTGAACAAAGTGCTAAAAATCAAACAAAGTAGGTTTGGTATTTTAAAAGAAAAATGCATCACTGTTATAGTCATGTATCTGAAGTATTACTTTTCCGTTTCGAATTGTAGTAGATTAATATCTGTTCTAGATCACTTATGATGCAATTTTATTGTTATCCAGAATGTATTGATGATAAAAGTAATATATCAAGTTTTCATGAAGTTTCCATTATTCAAAATATAACTAATTTTCTGGTTTTTTGAATAATTGTTTCACTTCTTGAATGTATTTATGATCATCTAGATTTGATCAGAATGATCAGATTGCTTCCAAAATCGATGCATGCTTAATATCTCAACTGCAGGACAAACTTGGTTTGTTTGTTTGTTTTTGCAGATAGTTTCTATGTTGGAAAATCAAAACTTGACATATAAAATACTTTAACTCAAAGATCATTTTTTTATTATATCTTTGTGTGATTGGGAATTCATGAAAATATATTCCAAAATGTTTCAAAATATTTCCACTAATGATTATGTGTATACCATTTTTCATTGTTTACATTTGATTTGAAGTTTTTCTGAGAAAAAAAAAAGAATGAAAAGAATCCTCCAAAAAATATTTCATTCTAAGAAGTTTCTTTTTCTTGTCTGTAATTAAATTGCGAATCATTTTTCTACATATTCTTAATTATTTCACATTTAGATAAAGCAGATAAAAAGATCGAACTTCTTGAAAAAGAGTTAGCTCTTGCAAAGCGTTCTGTTTATGAGAATGAGCAATTTGCTATCACACGACAAATTGAGATGCTTGAAAAGGACAAAAGGTTTGTCAGTTATTTTTATTTCGTTTTGTGTAGTATTTTTTGCTAGCCATTTCTTGTTAATTATATTTTTTTTTTTCATCTATTTATATGATTTTGTTTTATTGGATTAAATAGGTTTAGCATTTTTTTTTTCGAATATTGTATTTTTCATTTGTAGAGAATTAACGCTAATAATTGATAACCAAACAGAACGATTAACACGTTTGGAGGATCAGTTAAGAGTAATAAATAGAGAAAAAGAAACACTGCAACGAAAATATACCGAATTGGAACATGCGAACAATTTAATTGTTAAGGAAAAGTCCGAACAATTAGGAATTATTGAGGTTTTTCATTTTTCTTTTTTTTAAAATTATTTATTCGTTATATTTTTCTATATTTTAAGTTTTTCAATTTCATCATTTCATTTTTTGTTTCTGTAAAACATTAGCATTTATGAATTTTTCTTTTCTTTTAAAGAGGCAGCGCAAAGAATTATCACACATGGAAGAAAAGCAGATTGAAGAAAACAAAGCGCACGATGCACAAATTCAAGCATACCATCAACTTATTAAGCAAAAGGTTAGAGTCTGATTTTTTTCTTCTTTTTTAAGTTTTATTATGAATTTTTTACAGGATGATGAGCGTGGAGCATTGATTGCTGAACTTTGTGCTGCTAATCGTTTAGAAACACCACTTTATGATCCAATTAAAGAAATTCAGAATCACTGTGGTAAATATTTTAAAAATTGGCTTTATTTTGTGAAAGTTTTTTGATGTAGCATCCATTAAATTAATGGATCTTTATGTAAAAATGAGGTATTCTTATTTGTAGGGAATTATTCAAACTTTCCATCTGGTTTTCTTTTTTTTTCAGCTACAACTGATGAAAACTGTGAGTTATTGAAGGAAGTACGAGAATTACATCACGAAAAACAAACGGTAAATGTTTTTCTTCAAATACCAACTCAATGAATGAACTTTCGTCATTTTTCCATTCGAATATCCTACCTTATTTATTGGAACATTGAATTATTTTGCGCTTTTTCTGAAAAAAAAAATGTGTGGTTTAAAATCACACCTTTATTTGTTAAGATTTAGAAAATGATTTTCAGATGTTGGATAGAATGACTCGCCTAGAGAATGAACTTCAGTCACTAAAAGATCAATTAAGATTAAAAACAGATGAGGCCGAGAAAGAAGTTTTATTGAAAAATTCGATACATGATGATCTTGCTAAAGCACGAACTATGGTTAGGTTATCTAATTATGTATGATATATATATATATATTAATAAGGAAGTAAGCATAAATAATAATGAAGTGAAGATTGACATTGATTTTTTTGTATTTTTCTATTTTTTTTTTTTTTTTTTTTTTTTTTGAATTTATGTCGTTTGCAATTTATTTTACATCGTTTTTTTTTTTCTTTCAATATGTTATTTTTCCATTTTTCCGAACATTTTTATGAGCATTTTTTTTTCACTCATTGTCCAGTTTATATTTCGTAAAATGATTCCTTCAAAAGCAATAAGCAGTGATAATTTTTCAGTTATTAGAGAAGGAAGCACAAATACTGGATTTGAATAATGACTTAAAAGTTGCCGAAGTGAAACTAATGAAGGTATTAATTTTTTTTTCTTTTCTTTTAATATCTATTGATTTTGTAATGAACTGATATTCCTTGGTTGATATAATGAATGATTAGTGCGAAGAATGGTTGTGCTACAAGCTTATATGTCAATTTAGTTATAATCTTTTAATTTATGCTATTCTGTTATTCGTTATATATTTTCATTCTTTCGAGAATTAAGAGTGACTAACAAAAGAAATTAAGTCTTGCTTTTTGAATGAAGAATGCGATTTGTGGATTAAAAGATTAATTATCAAAACGCCGATATCTTCCATATCATTGAAATAATTATACTGAATGGTATTTATTCATCAAGCTATTTATTGAATGATATTTATTCATGAAGCTATTTATTCATGAGTCTTTTTTTTTTCATTCAGAAAGTAGAATCTACAAAATACATATTTACAGCTGGAAACAGAACTTGCCAATTCAGCAGATCGTTTGCAAGTAGAGCAAGTCACAGGAAGTGCACTAAAAATAACTGTTGAAGAGTTAGAAGATCTATTACAAGAGAAAAATGCAGAACTTATATCAGCTGCACAAGAACGGCAACGATTTACTGGTGAAATGCAGAAATTGAAAGAGTTAAAATATGATTTGGAAACTAAACTGTAAATTTTCCATTTATATTTTTGTTTTAAGCTTGGAATGTTTTCGTTTTATCTTAATTTTTTTTTGTTTGTTATTTGTAAGATTTTCGAAAATTTCCTCTGATTTTGATTTTGCATAGATATTAATGTGTACATGGAAGTAGTAAGAGTGAGCAAAATGAGGGCGCAAAAATGAATGACAGAAGGAGAGAGAATAATTAGGGTAACAAAATTATATAAACAATATCGGAGTATATTAATAGTGATGCAAATGCTCTTGAAAATTATTTAGATAGTGAGGAGGTATTTTATTCTTTCAAACAAGTAATAAAAGATTATTTTGAATAGACAAGAAATATATATTGAAAGGTTTAGCGATTGATACGTAGAAAAATTATCGAGTTTTGGAAAATGAGATGATGATTATTATTATTCTGATCATAAAATTAGAAAAATGCAATACCAATTTAGGACAAAAGTAAGGTAAAATTAAAGCACGATAAGTTATTAGGCATAAAATAAAATTGGTAGAGAACAGATTAATTTATTAAATTACAGAAAAAGTACATTTTGGCTTCGATAATTTGGCTTGCATTTCCTGTTCAGTTATGTTAGTTAGAATGTATAATAATTGATGATAACTAGGCATATGAAACAGAATATAACAGTCTAATTGATTCAAAAACTTGAAGTTTTTCTTTTTTGAATTAAGATAATGAAACTGCATAGAGAATGATATCTGAGAAGCAAAAAATCAATTATTGCAATAAAAAAGATGAACAAAGTGTTTCGTTTGTCTTTGAAGAAGCTTCTTACCAAAATATGATGCATTTATTTAAAAAAAAAAATTTGATAGTCTTTTCGGAAATAATATTATGCTATTTTGGGTTTTATGATGCTTTTCCTTTTTTTTTTTTTTTTTGTTTTTTGTTTTCTGTAAAACATCTAAAAATTTTTAATTAAGTTTATTGGTAGAGTTAAGTTATTAAGGACATTGTAACAATCCAAAATGGAACACAGATGTTAGAAGCAAATGCATTTTATTATAATTGCTGTCTTTTCATTCATTTCTTTTAAATTTGAATAAGTGATAATTTAATAAATTTATTAAACTGAAAAAAAAAATGTAATCTCCAGCATATATGTAAATATTTTTTTAGCACTCTACAAGGACGAGAACTAAAAGAAGCACATGGAAAATTAGCTATTCTCAGGAAGAAAATACAAGAGCTGGAGCTAGAAGCAATGAATTCACCAGATAAGTAAGATTATAAATCCTCTATGTTAGAATTAATGATTTGGTGGAGAAATTTCAATGAAATCCATTTGGAAGCATTCAAAACATTCTACTGATTAGACAACAGAAACGTTTTCCTTAATCAGCAAATTTATTCGTATATAATTGATTATATTATGAAATAAGTGAATCATGCCTATTTATATTTACCAATGCTTTCTTAGCAATCATTGCAAATATATGGAAATCAAACTTTAAAAACTTTTCAGTTGTTGTTTTTTTCTACTAATTTTCTTCAGGAATCTTCGTGAAACAACTACACAGCAAGGAAGTTCAAAATCAACAACACTAACGACAGTGACAAAATCTGCTATTTCCAATACAACTCCATTGCATCCCTAGACTAATACTATCTTGTTGTTTAATTTATCTAGTATATTATTTACCTATATTTACCCTACAATTTATCTGCACTCTATTAAACATTGCTTATTAACATTGTAATTAGGCTATCTGCATCATTGATAACGCCCGAAGAAAACTGTACACTTCACTCTTCTCTTTGTGATAATACATTTACAACTTAAAATCTTTATCTTAATGCTAAAATACTTTTGATTTATACGTCTTACTTTTCACATCTCATTGCCATTTATCAACTAGAAAGAGATGAATTAACGTGCTAGTTACATTATCCATTCATTGTGCCAACTTTCCATATTGACAGCTAATCAAAATGTGTGTCATTTAAGTGATACTTATTACAACAACAGAAGTTACCTCAAATGTTGAAATATTATTTGTCCATACTATTACACTTATCATTTGTACATACAATTTTATTAATTCTATTTCATTGTGTCTATTTATTGAATATAGTATGAGTACAATTCGTATACAATGTATTCCGTTTTTACAACATGCATCTGCGATTAATTGAGTAAATTATATTTTAATGATAAGGTGATAGCAATATTATCAGATTATATCCATAATGGATAAAAATTACTAACAACTGCGTAATCATTTCTATATTTCTTGCTCTTTTTGGTAAATAGCTTAAATCAATGGTTGCAATTAGTAAATTATTATCACTGCTAACAAGTGATAATGGATATATTATCAGATATACATTCATGTCAAATAATGAATTAATAGCAATCCTCTATCTATTTTTATGGTCTTTTTTTTTTGTTTCTGAAAATTTAATTTATAATTAGTCAGTGACACTAATATCATCATCATATTACATAATTCCTTTCCCCCCTTTCTTCTGCTAAAAAATCTCATTTAGCAAACCACCACCAACAATCAATCAGTCCCATCCTTATACTCACTCTGTCATCTAACTCACCCCACATCTCTAACTCGTCTAATCTCCCGACGACACTTACGCCTCTCCAAAATGAAATGACACGTCGCCGTCTGAAATGACAAACGATACAACAATTTGTTGAACAATCTTCTGACAGAAACAGACGAGAGGGAAAAAGAGTAATACTCGATTCTTCTTCATTTCTATTAACTCGTACTATTTTCATATAATCTCAACATCTCCCTCTCACCATCCCTATACATTCCATTATGTGCCTATTCTTTTCTGTCTTCTCTCCTTCCTTCTTCAGTATTATATTTCATTCCATTCCTCGACGTGTCTAACTTCTTGCCATATCAATTGATCAATCAACCTTTTGGCATATTTCAGGCTTTGTTACCAGTAGTAATAGTATAGTAGTAGTAGATGGGTGGTATTAGTTGATAAATGCATAAAAAATTGGGAAAAAAGAATTGGGTAAGAAAGGAAATGGGAAAAGAACGCGGGTAAATTAATATGACGGGGAAATTTTTAATAAATATAACTAACGGTAGAGAAATTTAAATTTTGATTATTAAACTGCTATTTAACTGTCTGTCTCTTATTTTGGAATCCATTTGTGACTCAGCTTTGCTAACTCGGTATATATATGTATGTGTGTGTATGTATGTACGTATGCATGTGTATGTATGTGTAAATAAACTCTTATCAGTAAATATAACCTCCATTCTATCAACTTTGATTTCTTTTCATATTATTATCATCTAAGGCTATCTATTCGTTATTTTCGTTGATAAATGACAGGAATTATTATGAACATTGAAAAGATGTAAAAGTATAAAAGCTAAATGTATGCTTGTATTTGAACTTCTCAGGAATAAATTTTTTTTTTTTATATATCAGAATGATATAAATTATATTTGCTGATTAAAGGAAGCAAAAAATGTTGAATGGATGATAACTGCTATTAAATGGAATGAATTCTTAGACTGAGAAAAGAAAATGATCAAAAATAATAATTAAATCATTGTGCAGAAAAATTAAAAGTTAAAGAATGTATTTAACAACAGAGAATTTCAAAAATTTCTTATATATTAGCTTTTATATTTAATTATTAGAAGAAATATTTTTTGCAGTTCGGTTGCTTTTATGTAGCATAAATGTTCTCATCATTGAAATAATTTATATTGTTGTAGAGATTAATTGAACACTATCCAAATCATATAATTATCGATTCTAACCCAATAATATAGCTTAGATTTTGTCAGATTTTACTTCTTGATAATTGTTAAATGAAAAATCAAGCACATAGAGACTTGTTCTTCATCTTTTCCTTTTTTTTTTGCACTCTCTCACAACTTTAAGAAAGACCAGGGAGTGTGATAAATTGCGATACGATTTTAATGTAATTTAAAAAATTTCCTTTTTTCCATTAAACTTCAAACTGTTAAACTGTTACTACTGATGACGTATTGTGTGTTTAATTGGAAGCCATTTCCTTTTTTTGTTTCAAATCGTTCTCTGTTTAGAGTGCATAATTTGGTTAGTTGTGGTGTCTTTCTGGTCTAGTTTTTGACGATGGATCCAAACAAACCACAGTACTTCATTCATCCATATGATCCTGCTAATCTTAGTGGTGCAAAGGTATGTATACCGTTTTATTATAGAAAAATTCTTAACATTTCAGGATTTTTGATAACTATTAGAGAACTCCTGGTTACCTGACAAAAGTCTGGAATTACAGTAGAAGGACTCGAAGTATAACTTCGAGCCTTAATAGGGTTTAAATTTTTCGCTAGCAAATTTTAGCATAGTTCAAAACTAACGTTTTCAGGCTTCAGATAGTGGTAGGAAGAGCAAAAATTGTAGGAAAAGTGAAGATTGCGGCGAGAAGGTTCCAGTTTTTTTTTATGAATAATTAAGGCATGAGATAATTCTGCATTGGTGATAAATGTTATTGTCAAAAAAATTGGACCTGAAATGATGAGTTGAATTCTAGCTAATCTTTAACAGATTTTTTTGCTTCGTTACTTAGAAGCAGAATTTTGTCTTGATTGAACTTTTAGATTGATAAGAAAGATTCTCATCCAGAAATGTTTGTTCTTGGTTATGCAACTTTTCCTTTTTGTAAAAAAAAGAATTGTAACCAAAAAAATGCTAAAAAGAGAAATTATGACACTATAATGTAATGTCATAGTGCGTACTGTACGCTAGTGACATTTTGATTTGTTGTAGTTTGAAGCAATATTAGTTTTTCTCCCTATAATTTCGATAAGCTAAAATAGAAATTATCATTAATAAGCTGGATGCTTCGTTGTTATATAAAGATAATGCCATGTTTATTGATTTGTACCACTCAGTGCTTATCATATATCCAAATTGTTCTATTGGATTCTATTTAGATACTCCTAGTAAATAGTTTATATATTATAAATCACTTATTTGCTAGTTCGAAACCATCCTTGCAACTTTTTTTGGTGCAGGACTCTCATGGATACTGTCATCCTCTTTTTCAAATACGAATTATGTTTTCAGCTGCAGGTTATTTCTGGCTCACCACTAGCAGTTGTAGCTGCAGTACAAAAAGCACAACAGCAACATGTTGCAGCAACACTTACAAGTTCTGGTGCACCAGTTACAGTGAATATTGATATACAAGGTGAGAGGAAGTATAGGATGTTGGCATTATTTTATGTAAAGATAAAAATTATCAGTATTTAATTAGTAGTTAATAGCTTGATATGAATAGTTTCGAGATTTTGAAATTTGATTTGTTTTAGGCAATTTATCAGTTTTAAGCTTTTTTTTTATAGCACTAACTGATATGGCACATCGAGAATATCAAGCCGGTGATTATGCAAATGCTGAGCAACATTGCGTGACAATTTGGCGTGCTGATCCAAATAACGTCAGTGTGCTACTTCTTCTCTCTTCGATACACTTTCAATTAAAAGACCTGGATAAGTACGTATTGACTTTCTGTTTTTCAAAGTTAATTATTTCGTGATATGACTTATCATAGCTTCTTTTACAACTGTGTTCCTGTGATAGATCTCCACCAGAAATGTAGAGAATTAAACTTTTTCGGAAATTCAATAGGTTATCCGATCTGTTCAACAGTCCTCGTAATTCATTTATGTCATACTGAAGTAGCGAAGAGAATGGAGTGCAATTATTTGTGTTGTGCAATTAATTTTATGAATTATTTAAAAATTAAGGTCGATGCAATTTTCAACAATGGCAATTAAAGCAAATCCGAAATGTGCTGAGGCATACAGTAATTTGGGCAATGTGTATAAGGTTCGGTTATTTGTCTACTTTCTTCTTACAAATTTTAAGGAGGTGTTAGAAGTAATTTGTTAATACTTATTATTATGTTGGCAATTCAAGGCGAAAAGGTGTCATTGGATAAGCGATTAAGAGCACCCCATATTGTCAGCAGATGATAATGGTAACATTGTACCAAATGTCTTTAAACATCGATCATTATTGTTGGTTTCGATTTTTTTTTCTCCTTATCTCTCTCCTTTAAAACATTATCTAACTTGCAGGAGCGAAATCAATTAGCAGAAGCACTGGAAAACTATAAGATAGCGGTGTCACTGAAACCAGATTTTATTGATGGATATATCAATCTAGCAGCTGCGCTAGTTGCCACTGGTGATTTGGATCAAGCTGTGAATGCATATGTTTCTGCTCTTCAGTATAATCCCGTAAGTTATTGAGTCTTAAATCTAATATCATCATGTTTGGTTTAATGAATATTGAACACTTGTATTTATATCACTTATGATGAAGTAACATATGTGAAACGTTTCATTACAGTTATGATTTTTTTTCCGGGGGGTGAAGGCGGGGGGAGGAGAGGGGAGAGGCACTTCTTGCAGATTTCTTAGTATTTACTTCTTCAGGGAATATTGAATTAAATATTTTTACACTAGATGGTTTTCTTCCTTATTTGTCTTTTGCTAATTAATTTAATGATTCAGGATCTGTATTGTGTACGAAGTGATCTGGGTAACCTGCTGAAAGCAATGGGTCGTCTCGAAGATGCTAAGGTACTAGTTTGTTGATAGAATGAAAGTTCTTTAGGAGTTAATAGAGATTTAGACAAACAATGATAATAACAGAAATTGAGTAATGGCGACAATACGACACTAATGTAAGTTTGTAATAATAAATATATTGAGCTGGCAGCCACGCGTTACGTATCCCCCTTGAGATTTTTGATAATTTTTTTAAAGAAGTCAACACACTTCCGGTCAGAGGCAGAAATTATTTGTTTTTTCTAATTAGAATTGAAACAGATCTCATTCTCAAATTTGGATTTAAGAATTTACACTTTTGCTGCCTCTGCGGGATTAAGTTGAATAAAGTACGTTGTCATTTAAATAGAAGAAGAATTGCTGATATCATTTGCTTTCGAATATGATTTCTGAAAGCTTTTTCTTATTGTTTATCTTAAATCCGTGCTAGTTTTAGAGTCGAGTACATTCATTGAAAATTTCCAAAAATTTTTGAAAAATTCTTTTCAGACTTTCAGATAAAGAGAAACTTTTCATTTGCTTCATTGAACAATTTATAATGGACTTGCATTTTTCGGGATTTTTATCAGAATTTTATAAATTTTCGCTGTATCTGAAAAAGGAAGCTGTGTCTATGTTGGAGAGATGTATCTTTTAACTGAGGGTAGATTTCACGTGAATATGCTTATAAGTTAAATTTTCGACCAAATGGTATCAGCAATTTTGATGCTTCTCTGAGACGCCCATTAAATCATATACGCGCGCGCAAAAAAAAGACTGTTTATTGTAAATCTGAAACTGACTGCTTTATCCCATCTTAAATTTCATCTCACATTTCTAGCGAAAACGATCGTTTGTTTTTTCTTTCCTTCTTTTTTTTTCAAAAGCAGTCAGTTTCAAATCTGTAGGTTCCACTCTATATCGATGTGCAGGCTCGCTTCGTCCAAGGAATTGTGAACTCTACTGAGCTTCTGGTAAATGGTTTTTTTTTCTTTTTTTAAAGTTATTGCTAGGGAAGGATGCACAAAGGGAAAGACAAAATAAGAAAAAGGAATTTCGAAATATGAATTTTGGCAGAAGTTAAAATTTTAATAGTATTTTTTACCAGTTCTCATGAGTTCACATTCTTTCGACGTTATTCATACGGTTCGGGATGAATTTAAAGATGGTTATTGAAGCTTCGTTTCATTTCTCCAAGTTTTATGGTTTTTCTGCCATATAATTTTGAAATATTTTCAATTGAACTAAAGAATATGTGTATCATAATGAATGTCCGTTTCCCACTATTTTGAACCATCTTTGAATTTGTCACCAATGTATCCTGATGGCAGTTTTTAGAAGCGTTGGTCTCATCTTGCAACTAGTATTTAATAAGTATTCATAATAATTCTGACATTGCATGAGTAAACTAAAGTTTTCGATAACTATTTTAGTCTTCGAAAACTGATAATACTTACTATTAATCTTTTTTTGATATTTGCAAGGTGTTTGATAGCGTTGCTTTTGAAGCTGTCATCAGTACCCAAACCAATTGCTGAGAACGTACTTTCTTGAACTTACTGAGATCATTCCGTTGTGAGGTGTGTTGATGATAACAGTCGCGATTTTGAATTGGAGCGGAAACAAAATTCAGGGTTGTTAAAAGTTTCTTTCAGTGGGTTTTTGCGATTAATTCATCATTAGCAAACTTGGAATTTGTTGTGGCTCAGGCGAAGAGAGGCAGTTCGAGGTATTAAAGAAAAAATTGTTAGATCTATTTTTTAAGCATGTAGCGGAAAGGGTGCATTGAAAAGACTCTCTATTTTATTGGCTTCATTCTGACTTACGTATGTTGTGATTTGGATCAGAACGTGATCTTGCTTACTGGAGTGGCATAAAATAATTATATTTTACTTACACTTATTGCCTAAAAGGGCTTATAAGAACAAATCAGTTTATTGGGCTTTCATATTACTGGTTTGTTTAGTTACGATAGAAAAGAAATAGCTTGAGCTTTTGATTTATTTATTCATATAAATTACAAAAGCAGCAAATCCCATATCCTAGAAACAATTCACCCTTTCCAGCATCATCTGACGTGATTACTAGACTATACTACATAGTTCCTGGAAAAAAAAGGACGATTTTCTTTTTATTTCTTCGAATTTGGAACTTTCGACACACCGTCAGAAAAATATATTTGAAAATGAGAAGACTGAAGAAGGAAATGCAGTATATCTTTGAACAGGCAGATATGACGGAAGTTGCACAGAATTCTTCTGATCATTTTTGGTCAAATGTAGGTTTGTCGATTTGGATGCAGCTTCCGTTACTAAATGGCACAGTCTATATTGAAAGGCACGGGGAATTCTACGCGGAAAGGAAAGCAGCGTGGCAAATAAAGACGTTTGGTATGATTATGTGTTTTAATCTTTGTGATTTGTTTGCTGCGCTTTTATCACTTTTTATTATCGCTGTAAGGCTTATGCTATCATCTGAATGTTTTCTTCTCTTATTCTTGATTAAGAGTTTCTGAATTCCATTTCTGAATTAGGTCTTGGTAAGTCTTGAGTCATTAAAAGTCGGTTCGGAATTGTTGATGCAATTATTATATCATTATTATTATTATTATTATTATCATTATTATTATTTATTATTATTATCAGTAGTCATCGCGTTATTAGTATGTTACGTCGTTTGCGCGATGTTCTTTTTTTTTTTTTTTTCTATCTTTCATATTCTCTTTCTGATTGTAATATACATCTACCGGTTCCTCAGTCTGTTTCTGTTATTTTGGTCTTTAAAAATGCGCAAACGTCGCGGTAAGTGCGTAATGGTTGTCATTACCATGAACACAGTTTGGGTTTACAAAAAAGTAATGGGCCAATTTGCTTGAGGTATGCTTTTTTAACATAATTTTTGAAATTGTGATGAAATTAAGCAAGATTTAGATAAGAAAGCTTGTAGTTTTCTGTGAATTCAATATGCTTTTAAATTTCAGATGAATGCACAAAAATAAGTTTATCGAATTTTGTAATGATAAGAAACTGTATGTTTTTAGGGTTGTTATCTGAAAGCAATCGAAACACAACCACAGTTCGCGGTTGCCTGGTCTAATTTGGGTTGCGTTTTTAATGCCCAGGGAGAAATTTGGCTTGCGATACATCATTTTGAGAAAGCTGTTCAACTGGACCCAAATTTTCTGGATGCTTATATAAATTTGGGTAATGTACTGAAAGAAGCACGCATTTTTGATCGGTGTGTTTTGTTTTTGATCAAATTTCACAAAACATAATTTTTTTTTTCCTTGTTCGAAAATGATTTTCGGGAATAATCTTTGTTTTATATTTTGCAACTCATTGGAAGGACACATTTTAGATTTTTTTCTATAATTTATTTTTTTTTAATGCTTATAATCTGTACTGAGAAAAGTGTTAAATAAGTTGAGAAAATTACCGATGATGTAACCTTCTTTACTTTTTCCTTCCATTTATGCTTTTTAAATCAATAGAAAGATGACTTTTAACTGATTCATCTATAATACGCTGTCGGTAAAGTGGGCATTAGTTAGTTAATGATACCATCTGCTTAAAGATACTATGGGTTGATTCTAATACATTTCTTTTTAAAGTATTTTCATCCATTGACAAAAATTTCTTTCACTACAGGGAAATCAAATTTATCAGAATCATTTCCATTTTCTAAAGTTACGGTGTTTGTTCATGGTCAGTTTACAAAATTCATTTGTTTATTTTTACACAAATTATTTTAGAGCGGTTGCTGCTTATTTGCGTGCATTAAATTTGGCCGGGAATCATGCTGTTGTTCATGGAAACCTGGCATGTGTTTATTATGAGCAAGGGTAAGTATTTCTTTTCTTTAAATTTTAGGCTCGTAAGTTTTTTTTTTCTTCTCGCAGTTAATACATTTTGTTATCATACATGCCGGATAATCACAGTACAAACTGAAAAAACTTTATTTTTTTGCATTCAAACTGGAATAATTTTTTTTTATTCAACACACTGCTAAAAGTCTATTTTAGGCTTATCGATTTGGCTATTGATATGTATCGAAAAGCTATCGATTTGCAACCGAATTTTCCCGATGCATATTGCAATTTGGCCAATGCTTTAAAAGAAAAAGGTTTGGTATCCGAAGCAGAAGCTGCATATAACAAAGCATTGCAGGTAAGATTTGCCATTAACGCATCAGCAATTTTAGGTGGATGAAAATTAATACATTATTTTATCGTATGAGTAATATATTTTAAGTATATGAATAATTTTATTATCTTTATGTGTTGTGCATGCTTTTATGACTTATATCTTGTGTTCTCTAGGATACTCTTATTTATTGCTATTTTTAGAATAGACTTTTTGTTAATGAAACTCGTAGCATAATTGAATTTAATAGAAAAATTTGCAAATGGAAAATATTGCTGAAATATTTGAATACAATTTTTAGCTCTGTCCAACGCATGCTGATTCACAGAACAACCTAGCAAATATCAAAAGAGAACAAGGAAAAATTGAGGATGCTACAAGGCTTTATTTGAAAGCGTTAGAGGTAATATTTGAATGTTAGATGTTCACCATGTTTCATTGTGCTTTTTTTTTATTTGAAAAATTTTCCATAATTAGACTGCATAGGATATTAAGTTCCTCATTCAAGATAGATTTTTAGCTTTAAGCTTAAAAAGAATTCCTTAATGAATTGATTCCCAAAATTCCTCAGAATTCTGTTGTGGTGGACTACTTTTTTTTCAAATTTTAGTATAAAATATGTTAAAACAAATGGAGTAAATATTTTTGATAGTTTTGAAAAAATTTAAAACTTTTAACTTCAAAAATTACTTTTTTTTTCTGAAGTAGAAATTGTTGAGGAGTTATTCACTCTCACTAATATTTTCTTAGATTTATCCTGAATTTGCCGCTGCACATAGTAATCTTGCATCGATACTGCAACAACAAGGCAAACTTCAAGATGCAATCAATCATTATAAGGAAGCAATTCGTATAGCACCCACATTTGCTGATGCATATTCAAATATGGGAAATACATTAAAAGAAATGGGTGATGTTGGCGGAGCATTACAATGTTATACTCGTGCTATACAGATCAATCCTGGATTCGCTGATGCGCATAGTAATTTGGCTAGCATACATAAGGTTAATAATTTTTATTACTTTCTAGTTATTCTTTATTAGTTCAATATTAAGCTTTTTTCTACGAATTACTTTTGATATAAAGCTAGATATTTTGCCTTTAGCCATAGTTATATTCATAAATTTTGAGGATTCTGGTAATATTCCTGAAGCAATTCAAAGTTACTCAACAGCACTCAAGTTAAAACCTGATTTTCCTGATGCATTCTGTAACTTGGCTCATTGTTTGCAGGTATCTAATTTTTTTATTAAAATATAAATTCCAGATCTTATGAAAGATGTTGAGGAGATTAAACTATTGTGGAAGGAAGGGTGAGAGAGAAAAAAGTAGGAGATCAGTGGCACTTTTTTCTTTTTTTTTTTTTTTGTTTTTCGTTGTGGATAACCTTAATAGAATATGTAGAGAGAAATTAAGTTTCAGTTAGAATAGTAACTAAAGTGTTGTAAGTCGATTGTTGCCTATTTTCATTTTCACTTTTTTTTTTTCGAATATGTCACAAATTCTTATATTGTTTCTAGAATTTCTATATTGTACGTGTTGTTTCTAGAATCTCATAGACATCAAATAATTCCTTACCTTATTTCATTTACTTAAATATAATGAATTTCCGATTTCTTTCTTTTGAAAATGTGATAATTCTGAATATTTAATTTCAGATTATTTGCGACTGGAATGATTATGATAATCGTATGAAGAAACTTATAGCAATTGTTGATGACCAATTGCAAAAAAAACGTTTGCCATCAGTACATCCACATCATTCAATGCTCTATCCATTAACACATGCTGTTCGAATGGCTATTGCAGCAAAACATGCACAATTATGCATTGAAAAAGTAACGTCACTTTTTTATTTCCTTTTCACTGATTTCGATTTGAAATTATGTCTTGGATTCTGATACTTATACAACATCGTGTTACCAACTTTATGATATTTCTATTTATGGTATTTCTGTCGTTTTTTTTAATGAAACATGTGAATTATCCTGAATAATTAATGGAGCGCGAATGTTAACACTAAAAAGCAGTTCATGATAGAATTTATCTGGTATTTTCCTCTCTTGGTAATGCTGTAGCTCCTAAAATAGGTTTTTTGAAAGCACTTATTTAGAGAATTAGTTATTCAATTCTGACGTTTAAAACTATAGATGGGATATTTTTTCCACGCATAAAATAATAGTTCTAAAATATGCTTAAATATGTGTATTGATTTTAACTTTATATTTAGTACATGAAATTTAATTTGCATATAACGGTTAAATTGGACTGAAAATAGTTAACTAATGAAAAATAATCATCTTTGTTTTAGGTCCAAATATGTCACAAAGCACCATATATATATCCTGATCGAAACAGCGTTCGCAAAGGACAACGTTTACGAATCGGTTATGTATCGTCTGATTTTGGCAATCATCCTACCAGTCATTTGATGCAGTCCATTCCGGGAATGCATAATCGTGAAAATGTTGAGGTAAAAATCATATATATTATTGGCAGCTCGTTTAAACTGTGAAGTGTTTTTTGTTATCTCTCTCTCTCGAATAACTTATCACAAATTTAAGTTTACAGAAAAGAATCGAAATTTTGTTGTTATAACTATAGGAGAAAGAAAAATCTTTCATAAAAAAATAAAATCAATTTAAATGTTTTTAGAATTAACATAAAGCGTTTATTAAAAATGTGGGATTGTTTTAGGTGTTTTGCTATGCACTTTCTCCAAATGATGGTACCAATTTCCGACAAAAATTGATGAATGAGTCAGAACATTTCGTTGATTTATCACAGGTATATATGTAAATTGAATTTAAAAAAAAAAAAAAATGGAAATTTATATTCTACATACGAATAATCATTTCGTTTTTTTGCTATAAATGCTATCCTGCGATATTCATTTCACTGTAATGGAATTTTAGCATTTTTAAAAAACATTGGAAATTAATTTTTAGATTACATGTAATGGAAAAGCAGCTGATCGCATACATGATGATGGAATCCATATTTTGATCAATATGAATGGATATACGAAAGGTGCACGCAATGAAATATTCGCATTACGCCCAGCACCCATTCAGGTCATATTTAATTTTGGAATTCACTTTGATTTATTCATTTTGATAAATACGAAATAACATAAATTTTCGTTCTATGAGTACTCGTAGAAATGAATTATCCAATATTTCTATTGAATTTTATGTTGGATCTGTTTTTTATAAATGGATGAGAGAAAATTACTATAGATAAAATCAATGAATAAATAAATGCTGATAAAGATATTGATTTCAGGTGATGTGGCTTGGTTATCCGAGTACTTCGGGTGCTCCATTTATGGATTATATAATTACTGATTCGGTAACATCTCCTTTGGAACTTGCTCATGCATATAGTGAAAAACTTGCATATATGCCTCATACATTCTTTATTGGTGATCATGCCCAAATGCTAAAACATCTTACTGAGCGAGTAATTGTTAAAGTATGTTTTGCAGCGTTGTTTGTTTTATGTTACATTCTTCTCTATGTTTTTGTTATTTCTGTATTGTTTTAGTTTTTATTATCACTTAACAGGCATTTCTGGACAAATGACATGTTAATTCACTAAATGATTTCCGAGGTGATAATATTTTCTCAATATCCTTTCGGATTTTTTCAAAAAAATTAGTTAGAGAAAATCATCAATAATTTTTGCAGGAGAAAAATGACCCAACCCCAATTGACAAGGAAACTGTCACAGTTGTGAATTCGGTGAATTTGGAGCCGCTATTGTCAAAAGCAGAAGTCAAGGTAAGGGTAAACTGCTGTTCTGGTTTTGTAAACTACTGTGTTTAAAATTTATAATAGAAAAGAATAACATAAAGTAAAAAATAAGTATTGATTGCTGTCAAATTGAAATTATATCTGAGAGCAGTGATGTTGAGTAGAGCTCAATCTTACAAAAAAAAAAAAAAAAAAGAATCTATTTTAGCCATTTGTTCGAGAAGCTGAAGTGGCACATGGTCCAGAACGTGATATGATCAAGACTGAAGTGGTGCTTCCAGTAATTGAAGTACCAACAACTGAACCACTTAAACAGATGATTGGTTCTGGTATGATTGCTGGTAATGTTGAAGGTGTACCGGTACAGAATGGTCTTACTACTTTGAATCAAGTGAGTGACTGATTTAACTGTAATTCGAAATCTCTTTAATGTAGTAAAATAAATCCTTTACATATTTCTGTTTCAAACTTAAGCGGAGTTTTACATTAACCAGTTTAACACAATTTAATATTTAAAATAGAATATAGCTTTCTTTTTGTGTTCCATTTTATGTTTTAAGTATTTTCTTTCTTTTTTTTCCTCTTATTGCATTGTATCAATTTAGGAGTTAATTAGCATTAAGATTTATAGCACATTTACGGCCAATTAAACGAAACTACAATTTATATTCAGAAGTTTAAAAATAGAGTGATCTATGGCAAAACATAGTCAAATAAATGTTTCTTGTTGCCAACAGTGTCTTATTGATGCACTATTTCAGACACATGTAAAAGCAGCAACAGGTGAAGAAGTACCACATACCATCCTGGTTACATCACGACAACAATACGGACTACCTGATGATGCTATTGTCTTCTGCAATTTCAATCAGCTGTATAAAATCGATCCTCCAACCCTATCGATGTGGTGTGACATCCTGAAATTGGTAAGATTTTTTTTTTAGTTTGATTTCAATTAAAGGATTTTGTTTTATTAATATTTGTAGTCTTTGATTTCTATATTAAACTGTAGTTTATTTTTCATTTTTTTCATGGTTCTCAAATATTTCGAATTTGATTTTAGCCTTTTTTTTTTATTAAATGATTTATAGTTAGCCAATTTTCCAGGTACCAAATAGTATTTTATGGTTGCTTCGATTCCCTTATCACGGAGAACCAAATGTTATGCGGTTTTGCGCGGAACGGAATATAGATACGCGTCGCATTGTATTTTCTAATGTAGCTGCAAAGGAAGAACACGTACGACGTGGTCAACTTGCGGATGTTTGCTTAGATACGCCACTTTGTAATGGACACACCACTGGAATGGATATCTTATGGACGGGGACACCAATGATCACAATGCCATGTATGTTTATCTGTTTTACTCATAGAATGTTTGGATTATAATTTTAGGTGAAGAATGTCATTCGATATAACAAAAAAAAAAAAATAAATAAATAATTTTTCAAATAACTTAAATGATCATGTCAACTGTCCGCTCTCTTGGCATACCTGAATGCATAGCATTCAGAGATGACCAAGAATGCAAATATAATCAAAGAAATGTTCAATAAATTATTGCTTTTAACTGAAAAATTTTCTCAGTTCATGCAGTAGTAAATTTTCATTTCAAACAGTTTGATGCATTTTATTGAATCTATTCTTTTTATAGTGGAAACATTAGCATCACGTGTTGCATCAAGTCAATTGTACGCTCTTGGTGTACCGGAATTAGTAGCAAAAGATCGTGAAGATTATATCAAGATTGCAAAAAGACTGGGCACCGATCGAGAATAGTAAATATCCCTCATTTTTATTTTATTTTTTAAATAATACGCGAATCTTTAATTTGTTTTTCCTTTTTTGAGAGAGAAATTGATTCCTTTCACTTTTTTGTTGGATAGTACTGCGTTTATACTTCTGTCAACTAACCAAAAATGAAAATTATTTTTAGTGAATACTTCTATTGTTTATGTCGTTTTTTCCGCTTATTTTTATTATAGCAATTTTATAGAGAAAATGAATTTTAGACAGATAAATTTTAGTCTTAGTCAAATTCGTGCAAAAGTTTGGAAAGCTCGAACAACATCAACATTGTTTAATGTTCGTCAATATTGTTCGGATATGGAGCGTTTGTTGCATAAGATGTGGAAGCGTTATGCAGATGGTTTATCACCGGATCACATATTGTCGGATCGTGAGGGACGAGATTCAAATGATAGAACGAACTGAAATAATAGTAAGTTTTCAATTTTTTTTTTTTTTTTTTCGATGCTATATTTAATTATATTGTTATACATTAGGAATTCATACAATATATAAAAGGAGAAGAGTGATTGATTCTTCATAGATTTATGAAACTATTTGATTTTTTTTTTTTTTTTTTTGTAGCTTGTATTGTTAGCATATTTCAGGAAATTCATATTATTTATGGATTCGCTTTGGTATCAGTTTGGCAAGACGGAATAATTTTCTGGTCGTTGTGAAAAATTAAACAGCTAATTTTACAATAGTTATTAATTTCTTTTTTGTTGAATCTAACTTAGATAACTCAAGGATGTAAACATATGTCCACTTCAACTTGCATATTCAACATTTTCTGCAAAAAAAAAAAAATCAAGCAAATGCTTACATCTTCTACTGATGACCGAATGTTAGATCAAATAATGTGTGTGTGTGTGTTAATAGTTCTCACTTTTTTGATCATATTTAGCAAAGTTTTTGTTAATACAACGATGACAAGAATCTTTTTTTCCTTTTTTTAGGCTCAAATTTGATAAAATTTATCCTTAAATTATACGAAATTCTTGTCGTCATTCATTACGTGTATTAGTTAGATTCTGTGTCTTTTGTTACGTTTTTGTTTATTTTTTTTTTTTTTGTCCTTTTTATTTATTTTCATTCTTTTTTATATGTAATTGAATGGAGATTGAAGATTTATCTTCAGCTTTCGTTTTCAATTTTTGTATTGCAACAAGAAACCGACTATCATTTTCAATGTCACAGTTAACTGATGTGACCAAAAAATAAGTATAAGTAAAACTTTGCAATAAAATGAACTGCAATTTTTTTTTTTTTTTTGTGTGTGTGTGTTTGTTAAAACTTATGACTTTTCTGTCATAGTAATAGATGCTGCAATACTTTTTTTTTTTTGGTTTGGTTCAAGTAGTACTAGTTATGAATGGATTTCTCATATCGAAATGATTTGATGCATATTTTTTGAGAAAATTTTTTAAACTGAAATTAAAACATAAATAATTTAGTTAAAAATTTCCAGTAATTATTACAACATCGCTCATTTGAATAGGAATTTTAAAAAACTCAAACTTTTCTACTACTGAAAATAAAGCCATAAAAGATGTACATTTTTAGGATTAGCAAAATTTTTTCTCGTATATTTGAAATTTTTTCTCTATAATTACGAGAATTTGTTCGTCTTTTTTGTTTTAAGTTTGTGTGTATGCTTTCAGTAATTGCTTTCGTATTTTTACCAAGAACAAATCAAATTTGTGCATTGTTATATAGCTTGAAACCTCACAATTATTATATCGAGAATATATATACATATGTAAGCAAATTCACAAGAACGAAACATAGCTTATGATATTGTTAAATTGAAAGTGTGATATTTATGTTGCAATCACATTTTATTATCATATATGTATGACATTCATTTTTTACTGTATCATTTATTTCCAGTATATTTGTTTTGTCTCTTTTCATTTTATCGCTTTTACTTTCCCTTCTTTTTTCTTTTTGTTTGCTGTGAATGCTTTTTTTTTTCCTTCATTATCACTATTTTTAATTCTTATGTTAGTTTTTTTTTTTTTTTTTTTTTTGAAATAAGTGAAACTTTCTGTGGAAAATGCCTCATTCGATTCTGTCAAATGTTTTTCACTGTTTTCAAAATATCATTTATTTGAGATAAAAAAAAAAGAGACCTTTTTTTTTGTCAGAATAAATGATAATTTATTACTTTTTTTTATTGCAATTTTTTTATATTTTACAACAGAGCAGTTTATAAAACATTTACACATTCTGGATAGCATTTCAAGAACAGCATTCTGTGAGATTAATTTCAAAGTTTTTGAAGAAGGAAGACAGAGAATTATAAAGTTTTTTTTTGAAGACGAAGAATGATTAGCTGTACGGCGACATTAAAAAAAAGTTTTTTATAAAGGATTTTTATAATATAGGTGATGGTTATGGAAAATGATTTACGTTTTGAAATGGAAACAAGGAATCGCGATGTGACGTTTTTATCAATTTCAGTTATTTTAAGTTTATGTTATAATCTTCGTTATTGAAGTAGATAATGTAAACTGTTATCACAACTCCGCAATTATTGTTTATGTAGTTTATTAGTAAACAAAATAAGGATATTTAAATTTTTTATCAAAAATATTTTATCGAAATCAATATTTATGTTAATTATAAAGGAATAGTTTATTAATAAAATAAAATTGAAGTGGAAATTATTGACGAATAATTAGTTTGATGTAATGTTTGTTTATTTAAATGATATATGCAAGGTAAAAAACATCTTTGCATTTGAATTGATTGATGGAATAAATTAGTACGAAAGAATATACTGAATTAAAAAAACAAAAATGAAATGAAAGAAAGTTAATATTACAGAATTTGATAAATTAAAATGTAAAAATTTATGGGATCTATTAATTTGATGAGCCTTTCATTAGATGGATGCAATATATTAATTTGAAATTTAATAATTGATAATTTATCATTATATTTACTATTATCACTATCTATATGATTCGTATTCTATTTCGATGTTATATTTTATCATTGTTAAAATTGTTAAAAATAAGATCTGATAATATATAATTAGCATGAAAAAAAATAAAAATAAAGAGGAAAATTATTTTTCTTGTGAAATAAAATGAAAATTTTGATAAAAAAAGAATCGTAAAATTTGTGAAATTAAAAATGGAAGAAATATCTATGTATTACATTAATATAAATAAAATTAGCGTACACTTTTTTTTTTCTGATAATTTTTTGTAGATATTAGTGATTGGAAAACTTTTACGATTGAATATTTTGAATAATTGCTTCTTTTTTTAAAAAAATATTATTTTCCATTTATTAATTTTTTTTTTTTTAAAGGGTATTATTTTAGTAAATGAAATATTAGTAGAAGTATATTTTTCCTTTATTTCTATATTTTTATGTATTTTTATGCTATATGTGAAAATTTAAAAATTTAATTCTAAAGCATAATTTTGTCTTGTAAATAAATATTAGAAAAGTTCAAATTTTTTTTTTTGAAACTTTTAATTTTTAATAAATAAAAAAGTAATTTTGCAAAAACCTTTTCTTCTCTTCATTTTTGCATACATTCATTTATTTAATAAATGTATTTTAGCAATAAATGTTAATTATTTTTAGCATTATGCAATATTTAAAATTATAAAAATCATTCAAATTTTTTCTTATTTTATTTTTGCTTATGACAAAAAAAAAAAGAAAAGAAATGAATATTTACCATATTGTAATGACAACTCTCATTTTTTTCCTCTCATTATAATTATTTTTAATTGAATTTTATTTTCTCGTCAATTAATTACCAAATTTTAATTTCAAAACATAATATAAGACAAACAACAAATTCAGCAATTCAACAATTACATTATTATTCTTCTGATAATAAATTTTTACTATAATAAAACTTTTAATTTTTAGGATTAATATTATTAATCAAAAAAATAATTCAGTTCAATAATACATTGAAAAAAAAGGAGAAGAAAAAAATTAATCGCCATATTATTTCGATTATGGAAAAAAATGAAAGTTTTTGAAATTTATAATTTTGAAATTCATTATTTGAAATAATTTCCAATGTAAATTTTTCACAAATATATTTCCTTCAATTGTACAATCTATTGAATATTTTTTTAGATTTGTTGCAAATGCTTCAAAGTAAAAAAAAAAAAAGCATTTTCAATTTTTTAATTAAATAAAAAGAAAAATTTTCAAATTTGACTTATTACAGAAAAAATCTCAAGAAAATATTTTAGTCTTGCAAAGAAAAAATTGAATTAATTGTTTTTAATTAGTTTACTTAAAATTGTAAAAAAAAAAAAGAAATATGAGAATATTCAATGAATAAACACTAAATAAAATACTAATGCATAAAATATATTAATTTTAAATGCTATATAAAATATTAATTAATTAATTACAAACTTTCTTCAGCAACATAATTCATATTCCAATAAATTAGTTTTTTAGTAATTTGAAAATTTTAATTGACCGAATTTTTGCAAAGTCAATTTTAGAATGTAATTAAGTTCAAGGCAACTGTAGCATAATTATATAATTTAGGAAAATTTTATTGCAATATTAATAATAATTTCTGTTATAACTATTTTATGAAATGAAATAATAAATTAATATTTGTTATCATTTTAATTCTAATTTGAATATAACATTCTTTTGCTTATTAATTATATTATTCTTTTTATAATAACAGCAAATATAGAAACATAATATTTCAAGCTTTCATTAATAAAATACATATGAATTGTATTCTTTTTTTAAATTATTTAAAACAGAAATAAATGAAAAGCGAATTTTTGAAAATGAAAAAAAGAAAAGTTGCCTTAAATTTAAATATATTATTACATAATTTTCTTTTTCACTTTTTAAACTTTTTTCTGTTATTAATTATAAATATATTATAATTAATAACAGAAAAAAGAAAAGAAAAAAAAATCTAATATAATGAATGGAAATGTTGAAGTTATAAAATTTTTGCTAATAACATTGCCAATTGTTTTATATTATGAGTCAAGTTTTCACTTCAATGAAAACGAAAAATTTCATCAAAATGTCAAATTTATTTGATCTTTTTTTTGTTTTTAAATTCTTAGCAAAAATTATGATATGAAAGAATGCATTGAAATTATTATCATTTTCATCCTTTTATGTCATTCTTTTTACAAAAAGGGTTCGTTTTTTTTTTTCTTTTGTTATTTAATGCTAAATACAATAATAATACATTAAAATGAAATTATTCAAGTGCAAATTACAAAATAAGAATTGGACAAAAATCGACTACGAATTAGATATTAAATTAATTCCAGTACAAAGAATAAAAAAATGCATTGAATGCATTCAATTTCATAACTGTTTATATAATTATTGAAATTCATACTTAAATTATTGATATTACAATAATGCTAATTTTTTTTTTCCTAGAATATTCAAGGTAAAGAAATAATTGAATGAACGATTGAAGCATTGATACTAATTAAACTTTTTTTGTGTCAAATATCAGAAAGAAATTAAACACGGCATTCGGTTAAAAATCTTAGAAATGCATTATTAAAACATTAATTAAATTATTGTTTGATATTTATTAGTATTAGTGTTATTAGATAATTTGAAAACATTTTCAACCATCAATTTAAGACGGATTTTGACAAATAAAAGTTTTGATAAGTTAGAACAAAAAAAAATAAATAAATAAAAAAAGGAAAAAATTTGTTTACCTTATTCCATTATAGTTGAATTTAATTTTTTATAAATTGAATTCTCTATCTATTGATCATAAGAACCAATTATGAATGGTTTGAAATGAAATTATATATATATTTTTTTTCACCGTGTTGAAATTTAGAATTAATTTTTAATTGTTATTAATTGATTAGTCATTTTACAGTTACTTATGATGTATCTCAGGGAAGAAAAACTTGGAAAATTTCGACTGAACTAAAATTTCAAAGATTTTTTCCACTCTCACTTACAAATCATTAACAAAAAGGTTAGTTTATCATTGTAATTGATGATCAACTTGTAATTGTCAATGTAATTACAATCATTCTTATCACTAAGACTATGATTATGTGATAACTGTTGCATATTTAACAATCATTAATTTAATCATATATAGAATAAGAGAAAATTATCATATTGTACGACAGAAAATAATAGTTTGACAATATAGCAATCTTCAACAATGACTTTTCCTTGACAGAATTATTTTATACTCATTTATCAACGAAGACAGTGATAACTATGATAATATTTGTGCTCGACCAAAAAATAATTTATCAGCCGAAATTTTTACTACAATCAAACATAAATATAATTAGTAGCTAATATTAGTTTATTAAATGTTCTGATAAACAGAATTATTTTCTAACTTATAGTTTGTTTTCATTTTCCTTTTTTCTTCTTTCTTCTGCTATATTAGACTTTAGCAAAAATAAAAAAATAAAACAAAGTTTAGAACAAATTTATTTCCTCTTCAATAAATCGTTTCATTATTTGCATAGTAATATTATAACTTTTGAAATTACTATTATTTCTTAATGCAATTATTTCGGTTTTTTTTTTTCCTTTTTTTCAAATCAATCATTTGTTGTTAAAAAAAGAAAATTCTTTATAATTTTTTATGATTAATTTGAATTAATGAAATTTAGGCTAAAATTTCAGAAATTAGTATTTTAATGAAAATTTTCAGCAGTTTAATGCAAACGTAAAAATAGCTCAAATGATACTTTCCGTATCACAACAATTATATTAGTCAGTATAATGACAGGTCGAATGAAAAGTATTATGGTAAGCTTTTTGCTCTCTTTTTTTACTTCCTAATTTAGATTAATTAAAGAAATATGCAATAACTCTATTAAATTTGAAATAATTCAAAATCATCAAATTTATTAAACTTATCATTTAGAAATGCATTATTTAAGTATATTGCTTGTTTGTTCTCCAACACTTTATTTATCCAATTATTCTCAAAACAAAAAAAAAAAAAAAAAAAAAAAAAAGGAAAAATATACTTATTGAAGATTCAATTTAAAGATTAAAGGTAGTTTTTATTTTTTCAAAAAAACAAAAAAAAATTAATATTCAAATTTTAGATTTTGAAACAAAAATTTGACAGGAATATTGTTAGAAACAAATTTGGAACGATGAATGTAAACTCAATTGATAATCCACAAACTCAATTTTTAATGCATATAGTCAGGTCTTGCAATTTTTTTTTCTAATAAATATTTATTTTTAGAGGAATATTTTGAATAAACAAAGAAATTTGTTGCAAATTAAAAAAAAAGTTTTTTTAGAGCATATAGAAAAAAAATGCATTGCACCGATTGAAAATTAATAAATAAATTACATAGGAATTATTTCATTTTATATTCTTTTCATTTAGTAAATTTGAATGCCGCAACAAAAAAAAAAAAAAACAATTTTTTAATAAATATTTTATATTGACAAATTTAAAATAGTAACGTTTAATTTGATAAATATAATTAAATTTCAAAATTGAAATTAATATCTTTTGCTTATTTTTTTTTTTTGTATTATTATTTATACTCAGTTAAATCTTTCCATTATTATAATTTTTTTCATTTATTGTTTGAACAAGTACAGGTTTCACAATAAACATGGCATACGATATTATATTTTAATATTTTGTATAATATCATATGCACTACTGGGTGGCATTATATTTCATGCTGTCGAACATCACGATGAAATTCACTATTTGGAGACAAATGTTCACAAATTAAATATGTAACTTTTTTTTTTTTTTTTTGTAGAAGTTTTTTTGTAGAAATTTGCACAAAATTAGATTTGATTTATTTCAGTTTATTCAATGCAAATGCTTTCATTATTTTTCATTTAGGTTAATAAGAGGACTAACGTGCCGTATTTTCAATGCTACAAATATTACTTTAACAGAAAGAAGGCGAAGTAATGTGGATGAGCTTATTAAGTAAACTGCTTAAAATTAATTAAATGTACTTAAAATTTGTTTTTTTTTATTTCCAATTTTTTTTTATCTTTTTAATTTTAACAAACCGAGAACTAGTAAAATCATCGGTACTGTCTCAATATCAGATGGAACGCTTTTCATATTGATTATGATGCGATTATATTCCAGCTAAAATCAATTCAGATTTATTCAACTGGTGTGTCAGCTCATACAAATTGCTTGAATGTCTAAGAAATGGCATTTTTATCAATCAATCCAAAAATATTTGTACTCAAATTTTAATTTAAAAAATTTGAATGCAATGATAAGACAAAGTCGGGTAGAAATGAAAATGTTTGAGGAAAAATTTGAGTTTTTATGTTTTATTATGGATTATAATTGTGATTATTGCTATTATTATCGTTATTATCATTATTATGAATAATAATTATTCATTATTATTATTATTAGTAGTAGTAGTAGTGGCATAGTAATATTATTATTGCAGAAATTTTTATCAACAAATGCTTGAAACAGAAGAAAAATATAAGCAAAGTATTTTGTACAAATATAATCAAATGAAAAATGGTGCATTCACATGGACTTTTGGTAGCGCTGTCTTTTATGGTATAAATTTATTTTATCATTAATAACTATATTAATAAAAAGCAAAATGGAAAAAATGATAATGAAAATAAGGAAATGATTGAGTAAAAGTTTATTAAAATAATTCATAGAATTAATAAATGTTTTTTTTTTTTTTTTTTTTGTTCAGTTTTTTTTTTCTTTTTTAAATTCTTTGTTTTTCAAAGTTTTTTCCAATTATTTTTCTTTATTGATTATTACAGCGATTACACTTTTTACGACTATTGGCTATGGCACAATTGCATGTCGTACAGCTATTGGCAAAATTGTAAGATAGTTTTAATAACATAAGCACTGTACTGCATTTGAGATACCGTAAACAAAGGCGTTACAGTATTGAGGTGAATAGGGTAGCAGTAGTTGGGCCACGCGATTACGGTATCACCAATAAAAACGCCTACTGTAGCAGCAATGAATAACACGCAATAGTACATCTTTAATTTCTAGAATATACATAAATTATATATATTAAAAATATCGAAAGTTATTTCATTTCTATTTAAGAATTATCATTTAATTTGTTTGATAATTATTTATTAATTCTTATATTTATATCTTATCAAAAAGATGAAATCTATTTCAGCTAACAGTTGTATATTCGATTATTGGAATACCTTTAATGTTAGCTATATTGCAAGATGTTGGCAATATTTTATTACGATATCTTACTACAGTATATAATGCATATCGCCGTTATTTTTGGTTAATTCTAATTCTTTCTTGTTTTTTTTTTTTTTGATTGAAATTATTTCATATGAAAATTAACTTTAATTCAATTTTAGCTTTTTGTATAAATTAATAATTTATTATTGCTTCAAAATAAGTTCTAATATATCTATAATTGAATTGTTTTTATAAAATAGGTTGTATAAAAAATTTTTTCACTGAATTTCAAATTTTTGAACAAAAATAAAGGACGATAAAATTTTATCAAAAATAAAAAATAAAAATTCAATTATAGATATATTGAACTGCATTAATTATATAGCAAATAAATGTTAGTACAATCTTTGGTAATTTGCATCACTGATAAAAATTGTATGTATTAGAAGTAATAATGCGGTGAATGTATCAATGATAAATAGTATTATTAATTGAATAGTAAAACCAAATTGTCAAATTTTAGATAAAAATTTTGATACTTTAACGATAAAATAATCTTTTTCGGAAAAAAAGTTTTCTCCATCATTTATCAATTGTTTGTTATCATTCAAAAAAAAAAAAAGAAAAATTCCGATGATATTTACATTTCTAAATAATCATTAAATGAAATGAAGAAGAATGAAATAAAATATTTCTCTAAACTATCATCAAAAAAACTCAATTCCTTTTTAATATCAATTTTTCATATATTCACTACACCATTGATCAATAATTGATTTGTTTTGTGATTAAATAAAAATAAGCAAATAAATGGTTTAAATAAATGAATTAAAAATACGCAAAAAAAGCATAATCTTAAAAAAAAAATCAAAATAAAGGAAAAATTCGCTTGCATCAAAATATTTTCATATCAAAATTTTATATCAAATTTGCATTTCTTCTTTAATTAAACATATTAAATTTATGATCAGAATACCAAACATTGACGAAATTCTTTAATAATAATTATATCAAAGCATAAATTACTTGAAATATTTCAGGAAAATGAAACTACGACATAGTAAAATATCAGATATTGAGAAGGATGATGTTGATTACAAGGTATGTTAATTTGCATTTGTTCAATTTCTGTTTAATACATCTAATAATAAAATGTTTAAGTTATTTGATGAAAATTTTATCTCAACAATACATAAAAATTTTGATGAGTTAGTTTAAAACAGAATTTGGCACAATTTGGAATAAATTAAGAACGAATTTTGTTTTCGAAATTGCTTCACTAAAATAAAGTCGTATCAACCAATTATTTTATTCCTTTATTTATTTATTTATTTTTTGATGCAAAACTTTTGAGAAAGAAATTAGTTTTGAACTACAAAAAGTAATAAAATAATTGCTTCAAAAAGTAAGTAAAAATTATTAAGAAGAATTATAGGATGAAATAACCAGTTGAGAATCATTTAACTAAATTAAAGTAGTAGTAATTTTTAAATATATAATAAAAATTAATCTGCAAAGGAATATATAAATTTGTTAGCTTAGCTTTAATAAATTTATTAAAATCAGATATTCTTTCTTTTTTTTTTATAGTAAATTTCGTTTGTATTCGAAATAATTAAATATTTTAAGGACGTCGAATTTCCAATGAAGTTATTTATTCCAATTACTGCTATTTATTTGATAATTTGTACGATAATTGTGCTTCTGTTTGATCAAAATCATAGCATGCCATCTCAGATGACATTTGGCGACGCATTTTATTTCTCGTCTGTTTTTATTTGTTGTTATATGCAAATTTCATTTTTTTCCTCTTTTTTTTTTCAAAATATAGTGTTATTTTTCGAATTTAAAAATTTAAAATAATTTTTTCCGGACTTTTTCCTTTCGTTTTTTTGTTTAGTTATCATTTTTCTTTTTTTTTTTTTTTTGAGGTAGCTTTACACATTTAAAATATTTCATTAATTTTATATGAATGAATAATTTTAAATAAACAACATTTCCATTGAGACTAATTTTACAAACTATAAAAATTTAGCAGACTACTGCTCATATATATATATATATATCTTAAAACTAATTTGTTGGAGTAAATTTGAGTTTGATTTATTCTAAAATGTTTAAAAATATTCAAATGTAATGCACTGCATACATATAAAAATAATTTAAGAAAGTATAAAATTAAATTATTAACTGATGAAAATTAATGATATTTTCAAATTGACAGAGCTTATAATGCACCATTTTTTTTTATGCGGCAATTGTTAAATAATCAAAATAAATTTTATCATTTATTTTTTCAATTAATTTTTCAATAATTAATCCTTAAGTTTAAAATTTGAGATATTATCGAATGTATATTGTAATAAATATTAATTAGTTTCATAACGATGGCAACAATTGGATTGGGTGATGTAATGCCAACAAATGTTGAACATAATCCAATTATTGCAATAATATTTCCTATTGGTTTAACACTTTTATCAGTTATTAATAGTAATGGATATAAGCAATTAGAAAATTGTCTAATTAATGCAGCAATTAATTTGCAATTATTTTTTGAACGATTATTTCAACGATCACAGGGACATATGGTATTACAATGGTTGGCACCAAATATTGAGGTTTTCTTAAATTAGTATTATTATTTCCTTTTTTTGCTTTTATTTTAATTGATATAATAAAATTATGTGATAGAAATATAATGAATTTAATTATTATTCTTATCATTTTCTCTAACTAATAATATTATATATGTTAAAAAAAAATGCTTTATTTATTGTTGCTATTAATTATACATTGTGACAAAAAAAAATTAATATTTTTTTATTAACTAATTTTTAAAAAAATTTCTAAAAAATTTTTAAAAAAATTATTAAAATTTATTCATTTCATAATTATCACTCATTTCTTATAATTAATGCAATTTCACTGCTTAATTTTATGCAAATTTCAGTTATTAACTATTGCATTACCAATTTTCGATGATAATATCATATTTGGTGATGATATTTTGCAAACAACAATGGATAACTATCAATTGGATAATGATTATGATATGATAGGACATGATGCTACCTTGGGAATTTTTTCATCAGCTTCTTCTAATGATAATTACAATGTACGGTATATAATAGTATAAAATATATGCCTAAATATAATTTTTATATTAAAATTTACTATAGGAATCGGTCAATTTGCAGCAGGTGCTGCTTAGAATTGTTTAGTGTCTTTAGTAAATTATATTTAAGCTTAAAATTTTCAAATTCAATTTGTAAATCTTTTTAAGTCATTTATACAAAAAAACTAAGTATTTTTGAAGTATTAATAAAATTCCAATATTTCTTCACTCTTTTTACATTAAATTGATGCATGTTATTAGTGATCAAATCAATGCGTTGCGTCGTGATATTATCATTTATTTACTGAACTCTTTCTTTTTTTTTTTTTTAAATTTGATTTTTTTTTTTGTTTGCAGGAAAATATGCAATTAAAATATGGCATAGGGATACTACCGGAAATTAATTTAAAATATGGTGTGTATTATTTAATAAATATTTCAATAGTAGTGTTTAACATCAGTATTCAATAATAATCAATAATTCTCATTTTTTTGATACATAATTAAAATTTAATACTTTGTGTTCGTCAAATTTTGAAATTTCTTTTTTTTAGATTTAAATCATAGCACTGGAAAGAAATTAATACGTCGAGCGTTAACGTCTGGTCCAAAGATGCAAAACGTCAAACGTATTCGAACAATGAGCGGTATCTAAAGTGGAAAAAATAATAATAATAATTAAGTAATCGAATCAAGCGTGGAATAAAATATCAAATAATAATCATTCGTGATACAAATTATAATAATTGCATATTTCACGTGTATATGTGTACGTTATATTATAATACTATAATGAATAGAATAATTTAGGTGATAAAAATTTCATGACAATATAACTTATTAATGAGTTATTTTTAAAAACTATTTTTGTTTTTCAAAAAAAGAAAACTGAAAGTCCAAAAATTAATTGTGGAAATTTATTGACTAAATGGTTAAATTATTGATATCCTTATCGAAGATTAACAAACCAAATTGTTTATCTATTATATTCTTTGTTCAGTTAATTTTTATTGAATAAAATAAATAATGCAAATTGTTTCAACAATAAAATATGGCCAAGGGAGAGGGAGAGGCAAAGAGACAGAGAAAGAGAGGCAGAGAGGATTAGTTGATTGAATGAATAATATTTGATCAAGATTCTGTTATATTGTATTTCCAAATTTGTTAATCCTAATAGCTGCCAATCGGAATGTTCATTGCAGGACATTTTCGTTGAGGAAATTCAATAAAATTGTTCGGATATTAACTTCTCTTATGTATTTCAAAAAACTGACCTCCAAACTTCTTGAAATGCAAGTTTCAAATTCCAACTCTGTCTCCTTCCTGTCTCACGCTACTCCCATATTTTCACCCATTTTTTCTAGTGCTATTAAGTTGCAATAGTTTGAAAAATTCCTACAATAGAATTCTTTCTCTGGTAGTGTCAACAGCTCTTAGTTAAAATTGCCCGAGGTATTTGGTATTCGGTACTTGGTAGTACTTCTGATGGTTTTTATGGTGTTCTCGTGGAGGTGTCCTAGTGTACTGCTGTAAATAATTTTTGTAATTTATTCCGATATTTCACTTTTTTCCTTTAAATGGACATTTCTCTTACTCAATACAGTTATGCTGAATCTATTACATATGGAAGTGTGGTAAAACTATGAAATAATACTCAAATCATCATTTAGCAGCAAAATTACGTTTTCATAACTGAACTGTGAAAACTTTAGAACCATACCTTTTCTTTTTGATGGGTAAAGTTGAGAATTGGAGATTATCTGATCTTTATTCGATCATAAGATATTGAAAAGGTATGGAATCAAAACTGTTACAGGATGATTAAATAATTAATGCATACGGTACAGCTATTGTATTCACTAATCATATTCTTTGCCATTGTAACTCATAATTAACTTTAGGAAAATTAAATGCTAGTGAACGGACGCGGTTTGGCACAGTTATGCACCGATGAGTCATACGAATCGAAATATTCCGGTGTTCTCTTTCTGTTACAGGTTGGTTCACTTTATTAGTGTAAAATTTAGTGTCTGTTATTAATGAAATGGTTAGATACTATTTTAATATATAGATTTCATATTGTTAATAAATCACTATTGAGACTGATATTGGACTTGTTCAGAAACTGAAATGAAATATTTTAAATATTTCATTTGCTTGTCTTTATATTTTTATTCAACAAGACTTTTGAAATGTAACCACATAAAAATACCTCTAACGATATAAAATTGTTATTCTGTTAACTGAAATTGAAATCTGTAAATATGATAAAACAAACTTTGTCAGTTTGTTTACAGCACTTTATAATCCAATAATTAGAAAGTTGCTTTTGTTAGGATTTAAGTCATTCTTAATTGGTATTTTTTTCAAATAAAAGTTTTTTTGCATTTGTATTTTAGATTGCACATATAAATTTAAATATCAGTGCTTAAGTAAGAAAATTTTTTAGATAACAGTAAAGTACTTTGGAAACCTCTGTTATTTTTGGACTTTATTATGTAATTAATAATCACTATGAAAGGTTATGAAAGGTTAATTACAGGATGGACGTTGGCGATCGTTGTACGCTATATTAAAAGCTAATTTATTATTTTTATTCAATCAGCCGGAAAATGTCGGAGTTGAAGCACCGTGTATAATTCTGATTTTGGAGGACTGTTACATGGAATTGTGTGATGATAATACAACAAAACGGTCGTATTCCTTTGAAGTCATTTTAAAAACGTATGTGGCAACCTTTGATTTTTAAAATCAACTTCATTTGATTTATATACATCAAGGGTGTGGCTTCAAAGAGTAGACTAAAAATAATACCTCAAAATAATTCGTCTAAAAGGAAATTGACCCCCAGCTAATTGATGATCCCGGAACAATTACATCTTTCGACACAGCACGACCAAACCAAGCTGTCTTCTCTCTCTCTGTCTACCTTTTCACATTTCCATCATCAATAGTAGTAGCCAATATTTTTGCTGATTTCTTATGTTTAAAATTTAAATAAGAATTTAAACGAAAGAAGAAGACCTTGCTAGAAATTTTTCAATTTTCAGGACTGGACGAAGATTCACATTTGCTGCGGACAGCTTTAAGGCCTTAGAACGGTGGATTTCGTCATTAACGGTCGCTTCATTGGAATATATTACCATCACAAAACAGTCATTTTTGGAACAATTAAGTGACAGTGAAAAAAAGACCTAATATTAGAGAATTTTAAACCACATAGTTCCTAATGATATTTACTGCCTAATGCTGATGGCAGAACTCCAGTGATAAAGCAACAAAAGCGATTCTGTTGTTCGATAATCAAATGATTCTTTATAGACTTTGTGCTTTGTGCTGAAGAGCTGTCTTCTAGTTTCATATTTTTGCATTTGTATAGGAAAGTTTTGGAATTTTTCATTCTTTGTAACTGTATATTTGGTTATTTACGGGTTTAAAAATTTTTCTTACATAGTAAAATAACGAAATGATCTGGTGAAAAATATATTGCCTTTGCAGCTTGCAACTTTGGTATCTGATATACTAGGTAGATAAGTGAAGCATTTTTCGAGTTACCAGCAACACTGTCATTTTTATGTTTTACTCTGTAAATCACTATGATCTACTTATCTCACTTGGTTTTGAATAAATTATATTTGGAAACAGAATTATGTAATATGTTTCTTCCTGACTGCAGTTTCTGCTTATATGTGTGTCGATTCATTTTCTTGAAGTAAGAAAAATGTGCCAAATAGTTCTTAGTATTGTATAAACTGCACGAACTGAGATAGAGATGAGATCAACGCTGGTAAACCTGATAAGCGTTCCGGAATCCTGAGATTTTTCATTTCGATCCCGATGAGGTTGCGTGTGTTTCTTGATGATAGCAGTATAACCTGTGGTTATACTACTATCATGAAATGCGTCATGACATAAGATTTTTGGAAATTTCAGAGGAGAATACCAACAATTTAGTGAATTCGGGAAATCAAAACGGCGGGAGATGCCGGCAAGTTTTCAGTTTTTTAAATTTGTAGTTTAAGCTTACCAACTTTTCATGGGGTCGTTCCTTTGTTGATACCAATTTTGTTTTGTTAGATGAATTTTGGATTTTACGCTGAGAAAATTTTTTACTTATGAGAAGACTGAAATGATGGTATCCTCTTTAAGGCATATCATTCGAAGTTTACTGATGTTACAGTAGTTGTTGGAAACATGGCAGTTCTTCCAATCCGATCAAGTATCAAAGGACCCGCTCCACGAATTGGTGGGTTGCACATATAACATTTATATTCTGCAGTAAATAAATCTGCTTTAGTGCTGTCTTTAATTTGTTAAGCATAAAGTTACGTAGTTTTAATGAATCAGGCATGTATTTCATTCCTTATTGATTTATGTGTGGTGGCTTGAAGCTTAGAAAATCATCAATAATTCCAAAAAATTCTCGTATTTGCCTTGCTTCCATCACAATAATACTGAAATGTTGAAGTTTAACAGTATTTCAGGAATAGTATTGCCAAATAGGTCTGAGTTAGAAAATCTAAAATGATGTTTATAGGTCATTTAAATGAATTGTTTCAGACGATGGTGAAGATATAATTGATGAAGCTCTCGCTTATTTTAAACCGAACATTTTCTTCCGGGAATTCGAAATTAAAAGTCCTGCCGATCGGACACTCATCTACCTGACATTGTACATTTCGGAATGTCTAAGGAAGCTACAAAAGGTGACTTTTCAAACAAATCAATGTCAGCAGCAGTTTTCTAAGGGATTACTGTTGCTTGTTAGTATAAAAGCTGTTTAATTTATGATTTATTCATTCAATTTTTTAATAGTTCGTTTATGTAGACAGAACATTTTCTTATCATCTTTTGTGGTAATTGAAATTGAAGTGTAAAGTAACATGTTTCATATTTCATTAAAGGGAAGTTTATTTTAGTTATTTTATGTGGGAGTAACTAGGAGATATTTAAATATTTCTTCCAGTTTTTCTATAATTTCTCTTTCTGTTTTCTTTTTCCTTTTTTCGTATCATTATTTTAGAAGAAATATTTAAAATAACTGAAAAAAAACTTATGCAATGAACTCCAAAACTTTATTTTTCAGAGTTCAAATAAATCTCAAGCAGTAAAAGATTTGTCAGCTTTGGCACTGAGCCATCATCTCCCTATACCCGGAGAGGCAGCTTTTCCACTGAATAGTATGTATAAGGCTCCAGCAAATCGAAATGAAGAAGGTGAGTGTATGATCTAAAATTTCATAATCCATTCCTATTAATAGCAACTTTTCTTTATTAGCACTTACGAATATTCAGTGGACCGGTAAATTTGTTCAGAATTATGTTTTGATAAGAATTGAATATTTACTTTGTAGTTTTCAGTGCTGAATGTTTAGATTTTTGCTTGAGGCAAATTTATCAGTATTCCAATGAAACAGTGATAATTCTCTCACTGATTCTTGAATTAGTGATTTCTTTTTGATTTGTTTATCAGTCTGCTTTTTCAGATGTTATGCGTTCATATCTCCTACAGTTGAGACAGGAATTAGGGACACGCTTGTTAGAACATGTTTTTGGAGCGAATAGTGAAAAGCCAAATAAAGTGAGTTGTTTTCTACCAGGTTCCGTAAATTTTCTAAAAGGCAGAAATATTTGACAGGTTTTCATATTCATCAACTTTTTGTTTCTGGCATTCAGACTACCTTAAACTATGAAAATTCATGAATACAGAGAGCATAGACAGTGTTACCATTATACATTTGTAAGTGCTGTTGCAGTGGTGGATGTGTTTTGCTCGAAGACGTTTTATGGATAAGGGCTTGGTTAGTCCCGGTATTGTTTTGTAGAAGTATTTCCAAGAAAAGATGATGTGATTGTTAGAAATCGAAATTATTTCAAAGCTTTTTTTTTCGCCCTCGCTGTTTTTTTCCCTAAATGTTACACTTAAATTTTCATTTTTATATCAATATCTAAGTGAAATATTTAAAAAAAGAAACATATCTGTTCAATTCATTTAAATTTATATGTTAGAAGCAATCATTTATCCTTTATGTGCTGAACCTATTCTGCTAAATCAGCTTATAATTTGTGTATTATCACGAAGAAAAGTGTAGTCTATGATAGAAATTAAATAACGACTTGTTTTTGAATGTTCATCATTTGAATTCTGAAACATTTCGATTTTTATTCCATCAAATAATAGTAATAATAATAAAATAGTGAAAAGAGAAGGAAGTAAAGGAAAAAGGAAGATGATGTTGATATGAAGTTAAATTTTAATGATGTATAATTTTATTTGGTGTGATTTTCTTTCCCTTCTTTTTGTGCATCTTTTTTTATCGAAGTTTTTACGATGACAGTAAAACGAATAGCTATGAATTTGATTAAAAGTTTTCTTGATAACTTATACTTTATTCTCTTTTATTATTTTAGAAGTCAATTAGAATAGCTTAAGTTTAGTAAGTGATATTGTTGTGTTACTTTGAGAGAGGGAAAATTACTATGGTATGCTAATTGGTATGCAAGTGCTATTTCCCAATTCCATAAAACAAAAAAAAAACAAAGGATACAGTGCATTTCTAGCAAATTAAAGAAAAAAAAATTACAGTATTCGTTATTATCATTATTATTTATTATCATACTATTATATTATTAATTGTTATTATTATATTAATTATTATTGTTATTCTGTATATAACGACTTAAGAAAAATAAAATTAATAAATTATTGAATCAAATTTACAATGAGTGGGTGAAGGACAGATGAATGAATGATACATCATATTTGATTGTTGTTGTGGTTGCGACAGATGTGTGTTACCAATGGCTATCTTGTCATTCTGACTGAATGGATCGATGGTTAATTGGTTGATTTGATATGGACTGGATGAGTGAACAAAGAAGAAAAGGGTGGAAAATAAAGAAAAGGTATTTACAGGTAGAAGGTGAAGTTGGTTGATAGTCATCGTTGGTTGTTGATTATTTCAAGGTTGTTGTAAGGAAGAAATTACACGAACGCCAATATCAAAAAAAAAAAAAAAAAGATGAAAAAAAGGAAAAGATATGAACCATCAACAAAATGTTTGAATCATTTATTATCACTCAACATTTTCCTATTCAAATGCAAAAATATATGCATTGTTTATGCATATATGTATATTGAATATCTAATATATTTGAACGTGCGTATACTACCAATCATTACTTGTATTAAATCTAAAAAATTTTCTAATTTTAAAATTCTTCAATTGTAATTTTTCATAAATCTAGTTTTAGCATTTGTCATTCGTCATCATCGGTTAAATTTTTACCCACTTGTCGGTTGTTAGTTTTTCAAATACAAATCTAAACAAAATTCTCCATGCACCTAAACATGATTTTGAAATGTTTCTTTTCATTTGCAATATTCAAAACAAAGAGGCACACAGAAATCAATATTCCATGTATTGCTTGGTCAAACAATCGTAAACACTGAATAAAATGAAATGATCTCAGTCTAGTATCTAATAAAACACTTGCATGATAATATCTGGTAATACATCATAATTTGTAGCTTTAAATATTTAATCTTTTTTTAACTAAAGTAAATTTTTATTTGTTACTGTAGCAAGGTAGTGCAAGAATTTAATAGGATTCAATAGACATTTTAATTTTAATTAAGAAGCTGTTCTTGAATGGACTGGAATTGAGGCAAGGAACGAAGAAAAGATAATTTAAAAAAGGATGAATTTCTGGATGCCAGCATAATTTTTTGGAAATAGATATTTCAGGAGTAATTGGTAAACAATTAACATTTTAGTAACTTTTCGAGTGCTGTAATTATCTTACATAAGCATGAATCATACAAAAATTTACGTACCTTTCCTCATTAGTCAGTTCATTGCGATGAATCAAAGCTCCAAAATTAATTGTTCTAGTTGAACCATCCGAGCTGCACACAAATGAAAACACTCTCTGGGAGCAATTTGGCCACAGCCTAAAATATTATTTTTCTTTATGAATAATTCTGGAATGTCATGATGTGATTTTTTACAGAAAATCAAACATTGAAAGTTCGATAATTTGCGGTACTAATAATATTATATTTAATAATTTAAAAAAAAAAAAAAAAAAAAAAGAATTCATAAATAGGGCTCTTTTGGTTTTTATGTGCTTGAAAATATGGTGCAAAAAAAAATTCACTTCCTAAGTATTTGATGAAATTTGTTTAATTTGACCTGAAATCGGATAGCGTCAAAATGCGTTGAATAGAAATAAAACAAAACTGCATGCAGAAAGAAATTAGCGAAGTGGTGCAAGGAATTAATATGTTGTTTAATTAAAAAAATAATAATAATAAAGTGCGAAAGTATGAAAAATTCAAGTCAACAAATAAAGCCACTAAAAAAAAATGCATTAAGAAAAATAAACACGTACTCTAATAGAAGCAGTAGAAAAAAAAAACTTTGCATTAATGAAAATTAGCATAAAAATGTGCAAGATCAGAGCAATGACAAAGATTCAAAACTCCAAGTTACACAAAATATTTATTAACATGAATGAGTCTATAATATTCTAATATGAGAAAGAGAATGGTAAGAGTAAAAGTGATAAAAATAAACAATAACGAAAATGATGTGACAAAAATGATCAGTGATAAAAACAGTGATGAAAATGAACATCCACTATGTTCTTTTATTCTTTCGTGCTTATGAAAATATACAAATATTTCGCTTGTGTACATGAAGACTGTTCCATCCTTTTCTTTTTGTCAATTGTTTTCTTTAATTTATGCAGATTTTTATTGAATTTCTTAAAAATGAAAAATCAAATAAATTGCATGCAAATTCTGAGTTTTGGACAGTTCAGTGAGATTTCTTGAGCAACTTTTTCTTCCATATTGAGTTTATTTTTACAGTCGTCTAATATTTTGATGTCTCAACAATTATACCTCAACAAAGAGTCCATTTATAGCTAGCTTATTTATGTAGTTGCATGGACGCGCTTTTTCACTTTATTTTATCATTAATTAAAAATAAAAATTAAAAATATTAACAAAAAAATAATCGAAATATTTTAAAAAAGTAGAAATGAAATGAGAGGAAGAGTTGCAAAGAAATATCAAATGACTAAAACAAATCCAAGTCGAGAAAGTTACCAGCAAAATGAAAAACTTCAATCAAAAAAAAAACGACAAAATTTGAATGTTACATTATGCTTATACGATGGATAATTCGATAGTTTTAACTAAACGGTAAATCAATTAATAAGACATAATGAAGATTAAGATACACTGCTCAGTGCTTGCTGAAGATGCTATAAAAACCGTTATTCATGATTATCAAAGTAAACATAGTAAAAATGAAAGCTAAAAAGTTATGAATGAATATCAAGGAGTTAAATACTGTAAAAAAGGTGGGAAACCTATCACCATATTGCAAATGTAGTTGAAGGGATAAGGATAGAGATATTTATTGGATCAAAAACAATATACTAATCTTAAACAAAAGGGATGTTCTGGTTTAAAATACGATATTGAATACACTTTAGAATCAGTAATTAAAGAAAGCTGTAGTGATGGTCAAAAAGTTAAAGTGTTGATCGATCCAAAATCTATTATGTTTATTCTTGGCTCTGAAATGGATTATCGATTAGAAAAATTCTCATCGGGTTTTGTTTTCAAAAATCTTAATGAGAAAGGAAAATATGATTGTGGGGAGAGACTTCGTATTGTTTAAAATTAAACCAGCTTTTAACATCAGCTCTGATGAGCTAGAGAAAAAATATATTGAGCTAAGCAAAACTCATATAAATGAATGACAGTTCCAGACAAGAGAAATATCAACAAAGCTAAACTTAAATAAAGAACCTCCAAAAAAGTGCGGAGCATTTGCTGAACCTTTTTGGTGCCAAAAGGATCAACATAACTTTGAGATATTAAATGAATCAATAATAAGGGAGTACTTACTGGATTACAATAATCTGCAGTTTGCAAGTAGTATGATTGATGAAAAAATAAAAGATTGCATTAAAAATCTAACTGATAATTTTGCCGTAAAAAATTTCGATGAAGTGGCAATACGAGTTTTGAGATTGAAATACTCATATAAGTCATTTTGAGAGATAAAAAATGCGACCAATTCAAATTTTCGAACCAAACTGAAATGAAATAATTTTTGGTATAGACCTTGGTACTACCAACTCTTTAATTGCTGTGGTAAATAAAGCTGCAACATGGTGATATTTAAAAATGAGCAGGAAAGAGAGCCACTGCCTTCTAATACGTTATTTCATTGAAAAAAACACATTAAAAACCGGCTGGCCAAAATGTTATCTATTCCATAAAACGCTGATGGATAAAAGTGCTGAAGACTTAAATAAGGAAGGCATCAATCTTGAAATAGATATGAAAGTGAAAAAAATATTAGAGTAAAATGCTCGGAGTTTGAGATTTCTCACTCCTATTGAGATTTCTGCTGAGGTATAAAAATCTTTGTGTGAAAGAGTAAAAAGTCCACAGAGATGGAAGTAAGAAAAGCGGTGATTACTGTTACAGCTTACTTTGATGATTCAGCGCGTAATGCAACAAAATTAGCTGGCATAGAAGTTCTTCGCCATTAATGAGCCACCCGCAGCAGCACTTTCTTATTTTATTGCAAAGAGCAATAAGAGTGGAATATATGTAAAATTTACATATTAAAATTACACCAAGGAGTGTTTCAAGTTCTTGCGGTTGGTGGTGATGACTTTGATCACCTTCTAAGTATGATTATATTGGATAAATGCAGAAAGAAAGTAGGTAAAGATCTCAATTCTCCTAAGCATTTATTTACAATATCACGACCAATAAAGGAGCACTTATGCAACAACATTTCTAGCACTTTTAAATTCAACATTATTAGTGAATTGTTTAAATGCAAAATTACAAACAAAGAATTCGAACAGACAATCAGTTCTTTAGTTAATAAGACTATTAATATAGTTAGTCACTCATAAGCAACATAGATTGCATCCCTGCCAAATGTGTACCACCATCCCATTGCTCGTAGTAGGAGTCATTCCACTTCATTCATATTTCTATGCTGTTACCAAGATCCTTTGCATTACCCTTCATGCTAGTAAGTTTGATAATATACGTTTTATTCTAGTCTAAGTACCGCATGAAATTATAAATGTTACTCTACTCCCTCATTTGTTTGTTTTCTTATTTACTTAATTAAAATTAAATTTGATAATCTAGAACCAATTTCCTTCTTCAATGTATAAAAACTATTACAAATTTTAAGACTTTTAAAAAATTTAAAATTTAAATTTGAAATAAAATTTAATTTTAATTCTTAAGTTGAATTAAAACCATGATTAATTGTAAGTTTTATTAATTTTGCTGACAAAATTTTGCGCAAAACTTTATTAAAAAAGCGTATATTATTATTTAAACTATAAAATGATCATATATGACCAGCTCTGGTGCAATGCACATGAAATAATTAACTAATTCTTAAATATCTATTTTTTAAATTAATTGCTATTTTTAGCAGATTCAGCACTTAATTAAAGTTATAATTTGTTAAATTTAAATTAAATTTGAAAATTGAATTTGGTTCATAATTGCTATTACTTCACAACTGCTATTGGTTTCGCTTTTTCACAAATAAAGAGATTTCACTTTAGAAAATATATTTGCACATGTAATTAATTTCTTGTTTAATTATTCTTCAGAAACACTTTTTCACATTTGAAAAAGTTGTATGAACTACAACTAAACTGCTCATTAGAATCTACATGAACACTTGGTTACTGTATTTTACTTAGATTAAGAAGAGATTTGTTTTGAAATCCTGTTTGTCTGTACGTAACACTGGAATTTAGAAATTTTTTATGATCAAATTCTTAATCAGAAAAACAGAAAAAGAATGTTACTCAATGAATGATAAACAATAGTTTTAGATTAAGATTCATGCATATTTTTTTTTTTTTTTGCGTATTCATGCAAAGTACACACATTCTCTCCCCATTCACTTCCACTAAAGTATGTTGTCGGTGGTTGGGTTCCCCTTTTGAAGGATTATTCTTGGAAGGGGCCGCATATAATTAAGACCAGTAGAAATCCCTGCGCTCACCTCCCCTCATTCTTACTCATCAGCAATTATTTTCTGATCCCTAGGGGGACCCAATAATTCCCTTCTGTTTTCTGCCAATGATCGCATTTTTTTTTTAGTGGTGGAGTTCCCCCCCTCTCAAACTGGTGAACGAATATCTTCCTCTTCCACATCCTTATAAGTTAGTGTGGTCCTGGCGAGAATCGAACGCTCAACCTACTGGTTAAATGCCAGCCGCTCTACCGCCTAAGCTATGCATTAACTGACAGGTCTCAATCGTTTTCAGCTATATTAAACAGATTTTATTAATGAATTAACCAATAGATGTTACAATATTAATAGCTGCAAACTTATCGAGAAATTTCAATGAGTGAAAAAAATATGCTTTTAAGGTAGCAAAAAGTACCCCAATAGAAACTGTTGGTAAAAAGTGTTACAAGTAGGGGAAAATCTTGGATAGATAGAGCAAAAAGAATTATGCAACGCATTATAAAAATAATATACATACAAATCAAATTTTCTATTATTCTCTCGAAGATGAAACTTGATCTGTGTACAACATGATACATAATGTGGCACGTATAAATCCAATCGTAACTGGTATAATATAAAATTAGAATAGTCAAATACCATCTAAAGCTTGTTAGCAAGTGGTGTATCTGATTTTTATTGGGAGATAAATGTTAAAACTAAAAATACGTTACAAAACTCACAAAGCCCACTTGACATTATATTCCAATTTTGCGAATCTGTAATTATTGAAAATCTGACAGATATCCAAGTCGAAAGTTTAGCAAATCCGAACTAATCATCAATTAAAGATTCTTAAAAAAAGTTTTAATAGCTACCAACTTCAATCCACGATAGAACGTCTAACTGATGGTCAACCCGAAATTTTAATAGGCCACTTAACTAATCATCAACTACAAACTATTGCTCAGGAATTACTGTTAGCAAAAGTCTGAAGTTTTTCTGGGTTAATGGTTAGGTAATCAATTATAACTCCAATTCTGGCATGACTGAGCTATACAAAATTACTATATACTATTGCTCTCTATCTATTTCACTGTTTAATGTGGCTGAAAACGAGTGGGATTGCTGAGTTGGTGCATGGCTCAGCCGGTAGAGCAACTGGCCTTTAATCAGTAGGTTGAACGTTCAATTCTCGCCATGACCACCTAATTTGTAAGGATGTGGAAGGGGTGATATTCGTTCACTAGTTTGAGAGGGGAAACTCCATCACTAAAAAAAAAAGTGCGATCATTGGCAAAAAACAAAAGAGAATTATTGGTCCCCCTAGGGATCAGAAAATAATTGCTGATGAGTAAGAATGTGAGGGGAGGTGAGCGCAGGAATTTCTACTGGTCTTAATTATATGCCCCCTTCCAAGAATAATCCTTCAAAAGGGGAACCCAGCCAACAACATACTTTAGTGGAAGTGAATGGGGAGAGAATGTGTATTGGTTGCATGAATACGCAAAAAAGGCTACTGTTTATCATTCATTGAGTAACATTCTTCTTAAAATTTGTAATAGTTTTCGTACATTGAAAAAGGAAATTATTTTAATTAAGTGCCAAAACAACTAAAAATAGCAATATTTTGAACTTAAATGGTTATGTTATATGCGTTGCAGCAGAGCGGGTCATATATGGTGTTGTCATTTTATAGTTTAAATATTAAAATACGCTTTTGTAATTAAGTTTTGCACAAAAATTCATCAGCAAAATTAATAAAACTTTCAATTAATCATGGCTTTAATTCAATCCAAGAATTAAAATTAAATTTTATTTCAAATTTAAATTTTGAATTTTTTAAAAATTTTAAAATTTGTTATAATTTTCATACATTAAACAAGGAAATTGGTTCTAAATTATCAATTTTAAATTTAATTCAGTTCCAATACTACTAAAAATAGCAATATTTTGAAGTTAATTGTATGTTGTATGCATTGCACGCGAACGGAAAATAGTGAAGGAATATGTGAAGAAGTGATGACAAAAGTGAAGAAATGATGAAAAAAGTGAAGGCATATGTGAAGAAATAATGAAAAAAGTGAAGAAATGATGAAAAAAGTGAATATATGGTGTGTCATTTTATAGTTTGAATATTAAAATAAGCTTTTGTAATTAAGTTTTGCGCAAAAATTCATCAGCAAAATTAATAAAACTTTCAATTAATCGTGATTATATTCATAACATAATTCAAAAATTTGTTATTTTTAGTAGTTTTTGGCACTTGATTACAATTAAAATTCATAATCTAGAACCAATTTCCTTGTTTATTGTACAAAAACTATTAGAATTTTAAGATTTTTAAAAAATTCAAAATTTAAATTTGAAATAAAATTTTATTTTTTATTTCTTAAATTGATTTAAAACCATTATTAATTGAAAGTTTTATCAATTTTGCTGATGAATTTTTGCGCAAAACTTAATTACAAAAGCTTATTTTAATATTTAAACTATAAAATGACCACAGCATATATGACCCGCTCTGCTGCAATGCATATAACATAATCAATTAAATTCAAAATATTGCTATTTTTAGTAGTTTTGGCACTTAATTAAAATAAAAATTGATAATTTAGAACCAATTTCCTTGTTTAATGTATGAAAATTATAACAAATCTTATAATTTTTAAAAAATTCAAAATTTAAATTTGAAGTAAAATTCAATTTCAATTCTTAACCATGATTAATTGAAAGTTTTATTAATTTTGCTGATGAATTTTTGCGCAAAACTTAATTACAAAGGCGTATTTTAATATTTAAGCTATAAAATGACCACACCATATATGACCAGCTCTGGCGCAATGCATATGAAATAATCAACTAAGTCTTAAATATCTATTTTTCTTTTAATTAATTGCTATTTTTAGCACTTAATTAAAATTAACTAGAATCAATTTCCTTGTTTAATGTATAAAAGCTATCCAAATTTTATTTCATGAAGATGAAAGTGTAAAGGGCGTTGCAACAGCTGACGTTGGAATAATGAAGGATGGTGCACCAAAGGTTTTTTGAACCCTTTATTTTTCTGATTGTTTATAATTATTTGACTCTCAGAGAAGGTCATAGATGGTAAAGAATTTGGAGTTTGACATATGTTTTTTATAAAATATAATAAGTGAACAATTGCAATATTAGATTTATTAAATAATTTAAAACAAAAAACTTATAACAAAAGAAATTTTGTTCGTGTTTTGCATTTAAGTTATTCCATCGTTTTTAGAAAATTTTTCAACAGGGCATGGAATTGCAAGCAAAATGCACAATATTTGCTGAAGTTTGCCGTGGACATCTTTCTAATTTTGTAATGGAAAAGGTAAGTTTTTTCTGCAATCCTGAGTTACAAAACTTCAGTTTAGTCAAATACGTCAAAGCAATTTTTTTTTCTCAATCCTTGTACCGCTTGCAAGAAGAATGCGATCCAATGACTTATGGCCTTGGTTTCAAAGAATTATTGTTAATAGATAAATCAAAGTACACTCCTGGCTATGTGGGACATACCATCGGGATCCACTGGTAGGTTTGAATTTTTTTTCAAACATTTCTTTTGTTAAAGGTATTTTACGAACTAACTTAAAAATAGTGATTTGCACAATGTTTTCCAGGACCTTCAAAGCCATGGTGGATCGTTCATGTATCATATCGAAGACAATGGTCAGCCTCTTGTTTCTCTCGGCCTTATAATTGGTCTAGATTACAAGAATCCTCATACAAATTTGTATCAGACAAGTCTGTTTCATAAAATGAATGAAGATTTGGTAAACGATAGATTATTCGGTTATTGTTGTGATCTCAAATTTTAATTTTTTTTTTTTAAATTTTTGATTTTAAAATTTACTCTTTTGTTTTTCTTAAAAATTTGCTTTTAGGAATTCCAGTTATTCAAGTCTCATCTATCCATTCTTCATTATCTGGAAGGTGGGGAGCGAATTACATATGATGCTAGAACAGTGAATGAAGGAGGATATCAAACAGTACCTCAGCTAACTGTGCCTGGTGGATGTTTGGTTGGTTGTGCAGCAGGGCTGATGAATCCAGCAAAGATTAAAGGTGTTCATAATGCCATGAAAAATGGTATGATCGCAGCGGAAGCAATATTTGAGGATCTAGGTCCACACACACGAAGTAAAGCCTATTCGATTATTTGTCCCAAACATTACAACAACAATGAATTTTAACTTCATTAGTTTATTTTTACCTTTTTTTTTGAAATTTCAGCAGTAATTCCGGAAGATTTCAAGCCGGAACTATACAAAAGCTACATAATTAAAGAAATGCGACGAATGCGCAATGTTCGTCCGTCTTTCAGAAGTCGTTTCGGATGGATAGTTGGCTTACCTTATACTGCATTTTTTTATATGTTACTACGTGGAAATGAACCATGGACCTTCAAAAATAAAACTGAAGACTGGTTTCAGACAGATTCAGCGTGGAAAGTAGGTATTTTGCAGCAATTAATATTTCAAGATTCAAAATGTTACTTTTATATCAAAAATCAATGAGTTGACTTTCACACATTTGTTCCATCCATCCTATGATGCGAGTGTTAAATTATAGTAAATTCTGTGATACTGTGTACAATATTTTACCCAAAATCTGAAATTAGTAGAGTTAAGAACACTTTTAATTGTCTTTTTTTGGTGCATTTGCGATCACAGATTCAAATTTTTGTATAACAATAGTCTGAGTTAAGAAGTTTATTTTTCTTTTTTTGAATACTTTGTAACTTGATTCATATCTCCTAGAGAACTATTTATATAATTATGTAGATGTGATTCATGGCCGTTTTACTTGCAGTCGACATCTATTAACTACCCGAAACCTGTCGGCAAAGTGACATTTGATATTCTGTCTTCAGTGGCTTTGACTGGCACAAATCATGAAGAAAATCCTCATCTGTTATGGAGAAATGATGCCGATGCTGAGTTAACTACATGGCGTAGGTTTGCTGGCATGACTGAACGGTTCTGTCCGGCAGGTATGCAAATTCGTTGATTTGTTAGTATAATCTTTAATTATACTGTTGGCTTTTTCCTAGCGAAACACGATATTAATTATGTTTAAAATTAAAAAGATATTAAATAATTCATAATTCTATAAAAATGAAAGATATTAAATAATAATAATAATAATAATAATAATAATAATAATAATAATAATAATAATAATAATAATAATAATAATAATAATAATAATAATAATAATAATAATAATAATAATAATAATAATAATAATAATAATAATAATAATAATAATAATAATAATAATAATAATAATAATAATAATAATAATAATAATAATAATAATAATAATAATAATAATAATAATAATAATATATATTATATAATAATAAGGATATTAAATAATACACAATTCTGGAAAAAAAAATGTCTTATGTTTTACTATTTTTAGGACCTTAATAGTTGGTGTAGAATTTTTGTAATTTTAATAATTATAATTCATGCTGTTCTCATTTTCGATTACATAGATTCTGAACATCAGTAGTGAAAATATATAAACTTTTGAAGTTTCTTAAGTTGTGGCAAGAAGCAGTGGCTGATTCAATAATGTTCTGATTAAAGGATAGTGCCCTAATAATGATGGAATTATTGTGGTTTTGCTAACATTTATTTTAACATTATTGCAGTGTTTAGGTGTTTATGAATATGTGCCATGCGAAACTAAAGTCGATACAAGAAGGCTTCAAATAAATTTCCAGAATTGTATTCACTGTAAAACATGTGATATCAAGCAATAATATTCAGTGGGTTGCACCAGAAGGTAAATTTGTCGATATTGAATGTAAAAAATTTTGCAGCGTAGCATCTGAAAGTCTGAAAGTGCTTAATACATAACAATAAAGGCATTTAAATTCATCCATAATGAAATTAAGTGTGTTTGCACATTATTTCTCATTTTTTGCAATAATGCATAGAATCGTAATACGTTGTTTTTTTTTTTCTGCTATTAAGGTAGATTAATTTGTAATAAATCTTATATATCAATATAAAATAAGAATGATGATGTTACACAAAAACACTCCTAAAACTAATTGAAATGAAAGTTCCTCAAGCGATCAGTAGTGTATTAACTTCTTTTCAATCTCTTCCTTTGAGTCTTTTGAAATAAAATGCTTAACTTGTAATTTACCATTAATTATTAGTGAATGTTTCATGATAGATACTATAAAAAGCTCATATATCTGAGAAAAATATTTAAATCTTTTAGGTTACATATGGATAGTAGATAGTGCTTATCCATAAAAATGACAATTCTTCATCACATGAAAACTAATTACATTTTTAGGAAATGAAGGTTGAGTAAATCTCTTTTACAACTTGTTTTTTGTCTTGTACATGATCTTCACTTTTTTATAAACACATTTACAAGATAAGCAAAATTATTTCTTTCCGATCTTCAGGAGGCAATGGTTCGAAGTACAATGGTATGTAATGGTCAGAATTACTGAGATATCCTGACTAAAATACTCCAGTTTTATTTTGAGAAATTTTGAATACAATTTTAACGATCAATTTGTATCCCGGTGCTTTTGCTGCTTTTAGGTTAAATTTGATTCATTATGATATATTTTGTTATTTCTTATTGATGCGGTCTTTCATTACCGAATTTTGTTGACTTTTAGTTATTTCTCTTTTTATGTAGTATATAGAAGACTTCTGATTACGTTTAGTCTGTAAATCTCTTCGAGACGAGTACCTTTAAATTGTTGCTTCAAATTTAGCAGTTGTCCTGTAGAAATAAAATTAGACGTAATTTTATGATTTGGAAGATAATAGCAGGAAATAGTGGAATATCCTTACGGAAGTCATGTTTTTGCTCTGATTAGCATTTCACTGTCTAAATTGCTGCTATTAAACTTACTGTAACGTTAAACTTATATATGATAATTGCTTGCATTATGGAATTTTCTTATTTATTGATTTGAACTTTGTATTCTGGTAAGCTTCAAGCATTATTTCTACTGTATTTTCAAATTATTTTGTGCAAATTGTCTCGGAAGGTTAAAACTTATTCATTTGTCTCTAAAAGCATAATAGGAATGATGAATTATTTATTAGCAAACAGGATAGCAGATTTTAAGAAAAGTAAGGAATATTAGATTGCCCATTTCTTTTAAACAGATCTTAATTAATTATCGATGACGATCAATTAACCTAGCGCTGTTTAGTTTAATATATCAAACAATGCTTTTAGATTCAAAATTCGGTGTGATTTAAGTAGCTTATTTCAAATGTACACCGAAGAAGTTAGGAATTAGCTAACTATTAGTTTTTGTAGTGTATGCAATTGATAATCTTTTTCATTTAAATTTCTGGAAACATTATTATTATTATTGAAGATTTATGGTTATCTATGTTATTGATTCTCAGGAGCTATCTTGCTAGCAAATTAAAAAAAAAATTGGCATAGAATAGCTGAAATTATTTTTGTTAATTATTATTAATAATAATCATTATTATTGGTGGTGATGTTAAGATAGACTTGCTCTTCAAATATAATTAATTATGATTGATAGTGAATAACAGATGTGTAACATCGTTATAACTAATTGAAACTAGTTTAAGAGAGGTTGATTGGCTGACACTCTTTAATTTAACCATGAAAAAAAGAAAGAAACTGGAAATAATATTTCATTGTTATGTCTCTATGTCTTTATCATTTTCATTTAGAATAATTTGTAAAATTTCAAAAGAACAAAAAGATTAGACATAGTTTAATTAAAATACGATCAGTGATCATTTTACTAAATTATTAGTGCGACTAAATAACGAATGCTTAAAATGACGCAACAGCATCTTTTCTTAACATTTCTTTGATTTGTTTTATGAAATAAAATTAATTTAATGCTTCCTTCCATTAATATGCAATGGAAAAATTCTATTATTAATTGTTGTTGACATTGCACATATATAAATGAGGTTGAACAATTTACCTAACTAATTGATACTTTAGGCTTAAGAGAGTAAATTTAGCATCTTATTATTCTTAATTTTGGACTATAATTTGTTTACTCTTTTTGTCAAAAGCTAAAATTTTGATAGAATGCTATCATTAAGTACAATTAAACAAATATTTTATATTAAAATTTATGTTTTGAAGTAAATTTTCTGTTTTTCTTTATATTATCTACTACATTTGTTAATATTATTAAGTAATTTTGAAATAAAATTTTTAATTCTTTCATAATTCAGTAAATGGTTGTAAACGTATAAGAAATGTTAGAGATTTAAATTGATAAATAATATCTAGTCATTCTCTTTAAAAGTTTTAATTTTCAACTGATTTTTGAGACAAAATGATTGAAAAAGAAAAAATAGAAGAGGAAGAAACAAAAATATTCTAGAAATAACCAATTATGATTTAAAATATGATTGCTATTGCTATTTGTATTAAATTACTGATTTGATTGACAATGTAAATACAATGATATAGCTTTAGTGTTGCTAATTTCAAATATTAAAATTCATTTTTAAATTCTTCAAATTCAAAGTTTTTAAATTATAAACTTCAAATGATATGATCTATTAATTAAATTATAAAGCTTTTAACGATTCAAATTTTTCACTCAAAGAGCTGTTGCGTTTTTTTTTTTTCTGTCCAATGTTTTATTCAGATCTAATTGAATGAAAAAGAAGTATTTAAGATAAATTAAATGAATTTCAAAATTTGCTACCTTTTCTTACATTAGCCTAATTTCAACTGATAACATTTGTGACAAAGAAAATTTTTTACTGTTCTATCATAATTTGAAATGTATACTAGAAAAGTGATTAGCTGAATGAAAAAAATTCCCATTAGCTAAATTTAAATCGTTTATTAAATTTTTTTTGAAGAATTAAATTTTCATTAATCAATAAAACTACAATTTTTGAACAAAAAGCAGTACGGCAAATTATTTTTAATAGTATTGAAATAAAAGATATAACTTATTATTACAATTGTTACACTATCATATGTTCAGGTGGTATCGACTTCTATTTTATTTTATTTTAATTTAATTTTATTTTTTTTCGTTTTTTTTTGTTTATGTGTAAAATAATTTTTGTAATCAAGGATTTTTCAGATTTTAGCTACTTTTTTTTGTACTCGTTTCATCATTTTGTTTTTTTTTTTATCTCATTATTTTACTAGATTTCGTTCAATTATTAAATATTTGGAAAATCTGTTGAGCTTTTCAAAAATCATTAGAATCTTAATAGCAATTTTTAATATGTTCAAACTAAATTTAACTTTAGCTAAACACATGGTAACAGGGAATTGTTAGCTTTAAAAAGCATGAATAATTTTATAGCTATTTTGTTTCAATTGTAAGTTATGTCTTCAATTACATTTCTTATTATAAGTAAATTTAAATTAATTACTGCGCTATTGCACAGTTAATTAGCATCATTTTATTAGAGAAAATATGAAGTGACAAAGGCAAATCTTTGAAATTACTCACATCTCTTCTATCAATGATTGTTTGATTGAAATTATTTCATTCATTTTAACTTTTTGTAAGAATTTACTTTTTTTTCTGTTATTCAATATTTTAATTGAAATTATCAGAAGTTTAAAAATTCACTCAAACTATCTTTTTTTTTCTTTCTAGAATGATTTTAAAATTTTGCTAAAAATAAAAATTAACTGAAAGGGAATGAATTATCTCACAAAACCTGTTTTCAACGTCTTTTCATTAATATGGGATCAATTTAATACTGAAATCAAAATAATTTCATCTGCTGTGATATTGCACCAATAAATATGATTGAATTAACAGAAAAAAAAAGAAGAGAAAGAATGAAAATATTAAAATGATTGATAAATAATTTAATAATTAAATCATCAAATGCACACTTATTTTTAAAACTGTTATTATAGAATATGTTTGACTTATGAGATATCGTTATCAGATTAATTCATAGCAATTGTATATTTTTAACTTTAACATCATTTATATAAATTTATTGATGATTTCAGTTTTATTTTTTATCTAAATTTAAATTATAAAATTTTATTTATATAAATTATAAAAATTTTTAAATAAGTTATAAAATTGTAGCAAATTAATTTGATGTCATTTGAAAATTGTATAGTGAAACTAAAATGATATTAGTTTTTTTTTTGACAATGAGCAAATAAAATATCATGATGAACAGTTTTCTTGTGACACCAATAATTTCAAACATTTGTATCAATCGTCGTTCAACTATTTGTCATTTTTTGGACATTGATGTTGTGCAAATCGATGATTCGTTAAGAGTTTATCTTGTTGTCATCATTCTTTCTTCCAATTCTTTTCTTCTATATATAAAAAAATTTATTCTATCATTTAATTATATAAATTATTTCATCCTTCTTTTGCTATCTTTTCTTTTTATTAGTAAAAAAAAGTTACAAATTAAATAGTTTTGTTATTAATATGAGAAAATAATAGTAATGTAAATATTTTAGATGTTTATCTAAATAAGATCAAACATATTTACGATTTTAAAATGCTAATTTTCATTTCACTCATTTAATTTTATTTCTTTTTATGCATTTCATAAAATACTGAGAATTATTCGTAGAGTTTTAATTCTTATTTATATTACAAATTATGATATTAAATCAGAATTAGAAATGATGTTAACGCATATAATTTATTAATTGTAATAATATATGCGAATGAAATTTTATCCATTTTATGATTTGATAAAATAACATACCAAGAATTATTCCTAGAATTTGAATTTTCACTTATATCAGAAATTAAATCAGAACTAGAATTAATGCTAATCGTTAATGTATATGTTTTTATTAGTTTACAATGATATATGAGAATTAATAATGCATTTTAGTTTTAATCATACTGATAAGAATGATAATTATTACTCATGAATGTAAATTCTGTAAATGTCCTATCAAAAAAAATTAAAAGTTATCACTTAAAGATATAAAATTTTCAACTTGTTTGTTATCACACCAAGCTTTAATTGTTTACCTATATCTACGAGAGATAGACTATTATTAAGTAAACAAAAGTTATTAAATAATTGTAATTAAATATTTAGTTTTATTTTAGTGACCTTTTGCTCATTATTGTTTCTTTTCAGAGTGGTACAATTAACAGTCTTGAAAATGGTTATAGATCAAGAAGCAATCTTTTATAGGAATAACTGATAAATTATTCTTGTGGATAATGAATTAAGTTTAAATTTGAAAATTCTCAGTGTACACAAACAAATTAAACTAAAATTTTAAATTGATTCTAAATGTTGCAAAAATGTTCATACAACAGAATTATGCAAAAGTCGATAATATTATCAATAATTTTAAAATGTAAATAAAAAAACAAATTCTTTTCTCATTTGTTTAACTTTTTTTTTTATCACTTTTATTAAATATATTTAGATAACTCTTTATAGATAAATGCTAATTTATGCAAATATATTAAAGGATTAACTTTTTGA